TCAATATGTGGTCATCATTAATTAGTTACATTCCTGACATTAGTACCGGTTTGATTGATCAAGAATATCGTCAATCTCCATAATTATTTTCATTAAGAGTATGGCAAAACATAATAATGATCAAGATCAACAAATATTGTTTGAAATCGCAGTCAAATATTTTTATGGCTATAAACAAATACATTAATAAATTAATGTCTTTGGCTACAAAACTATCGTCCATATTGAAAATTTCTTTTCATTTTCCACAAGATTTTCAACTTAATTGTATTTTGTTTGAAGATTTACTCAAAATCTTTTTGTTTTTTCTGGAAAAGGCGCATTCGTATAACGATATGTTAAATTATAATGAAAATGAGCATTTTATTTTTTGACAATGTTATCATTCAATTTCATATTTTCATCGTCACAAATCAAAAGCTAGTTTCCTCAATAACAATATTAAAAAAAACCCGCAACGAGTTCAGCATACGCGTAGGTATAATTTATACCAAACAATTAAAAAAATATTGTTTGTTACTTAAAAATTCCATCAGTTTCCATTATATATACAGGTACCCAAAGTACGAACGTTGGTTTCTTAGTCATACGAATGAAATAAACATGGGTAGGTATCCTAACCAATTTGCGCATCACAAATATTATCTAAATTTCCACATTTCAACTGTATAAGATAAGTAATATCTTACTAAGTACTTACTTGTTAAAATCTAAATGCAATTTTCTCAGCGACATTTGACGGTTTTTAGAAACGGTGTGCAATGCGAAGATGCGTCGATAATCGCAAACTACACAGTAATTTCGCACTTTGGTAACGTAAGAAGCTTGTAACGTAATACTGGTGAGACAGGGCAGGATGCTGAAGGTTCAAGCGAAGATGTCCATGCGCTTATAAAAATATTTTTTTTGCCAAAATGTCCAACCACATAATCCTACTAATATTATAAATACGAAGTTTTGTATGTCTGTTACTCAATCACGCAGAAGCGGCCGAAAGGATTTGGATGAAGTTTATGACCTGGATTAAGATATAGGATGAAAAAAAAAATAGGTTTTTATGGAATTCTCAAAAAACTAAGTTACTGCGGAAGAAGTTGCGGGCCGCCGCGCCGGCGCCGTTAGTAAATACATAAATAATGCAAGTAATCGTAAGAAAAACATTTATTTAGCATTCAGTTGATTCACACAAATAATATAATGATAAATGAGAATCAAAACTCAAAATCATATCAAAATGTGCTAAAATGGCACTCAGTAATATGCCATGAAGCCTGGTGCAACAAGTGCAATTTCAGTGGTATTACATACACAATGTCACGAACATTATTTTGTCCAGGAGTGTATTATTTATCCAGAAGTACATGAAACACCTAGTATCATATAAAAAAGAAACAACGAAAGGTACCATAATAGGGGATGAAACAAATGTTATATGGAAAAATTATCTTTTAAAACGGTCAGTATCATGGGCCCAACACTTTCAAGTTTTAATAGAAGATATAATTATTTACAATGGAAAAAAACAACCGTGACATTTTCCTTAAAACCAGGATTAAAGTTTTTTTTATCTAGACTTATCTTTCCATAGTTTTTCTCTGAAAATCAGTGACTAACCAAATTTATAGTTATGTACTTTTGGATAACATTAGCTGCATTATCTTAGTTGTGAGAGCAGTTAGGCTAGTGACTAACTCCTTACTCTAGTCATAAAATAAGCATAAGCTTAACTTTGTATGTCACCAGTATGATTTAATTGTTCAAATATTAGTGTTTGTTCGTGTGCTACATACAGGGCTTAGTTAGTTAGCAAACAATTTAAGCGACGAATGATTTAAATGGAAATATATTAAGGAAGCAGAAAATAGGAAAGGTAAGGAATTTTTTCTTCCAATCACCCGTTTTTTCACGGGCAGGCTAATGTCTGATTTAGGATACATTCATCTGAAACTTTTTTGTTATTATTATAATAGGTAATCCGATGAAATATAACACATCTTAAAGTAAAAAGTCTACTGTGCAAGTAGCTTTGTCTGCCTGTCTATTACCGGCTCGTGTTATTAAAGTTTGATGTCAGTACCCTTAGCACGAACCACTATCGAATTCGAATAGTTTGCGAGTCCGAAATGTCATTGTTAAATTTTGTATGAAAACTTGAACAGCAGAGCCATATCGTACGTAACAAGAACTAAAAATCAGTACATATTGTAATATGACATGTCGTACTCGCAAACGCTACGATTTCGATATTGGTTCGTGCTAAGGGCACAGCTCTCAATTTGAGGACATTATATGAAATAATACAGGGAGTTAAAAAGCAGCCCTTGCTGAGTTTGCGCCGTAGATTTGCGAACCGATGCCGATGGCGTAGCTTTCGACTTTCACAATGTGCTTGTAAAAGCCTAAACTGAATAAATGAATATAGAATTTTTGAATTTGTATCCAAATCCCTAAACTATGTTAAATAAAAATCTTGATACGTGGACAAAGAGGAATTCAGCGAAGGATATTATGCTACTTTTCGCCGCTAAGTTTAATCATGAAGAAAAGGGAACAGTTAATGAAACTTTAAGATAAACCTCGACCTCCGTGGCCGAGTAGTTTATACGCCGGGTTTCATGGTGTCGCCGACTCGAGAGGTCCCGGGTTCGAATCCCGGTGGGGGCAGATGTTTGTGCGATGAATACGAGCATTTGTACTCTAGTCATGGATGTTTAATATGTATTTCTATTTCTATATAAATATATTAATATAATGTACAATATATTATGTATTCTATCCGTTACCCTAGAGTATCCCATAACACAAGCCTTACAGTACTTAATTCGGGGCTAGGCTACTTGATATGAGTGTAAAAAAAACCCAAGTGGAAGTCACGGTCATCAGTGAATAATGTGATGAAATTAGACCTTTGCTTTATTTATTTTTTCTAAGAAAAGAGTAACTTATTATTTGAGGCAAGTCACGGCATATAGGCGGGTCGGGTGAATTTAATTATATTTTACAATGTTCGCGATACAAACAGACCGTGTAGTGACAGACGGTTGGCCCGTAGATCAAAACTGGAGGTTTTAAAACTATTCTATCGTATTCTCAAGGTCGTTTTATCAGCTAGTAAAGACACACTGGCAGAAGACAAAAGGTTTTCAAACAAATTCAAAAATCTCTTAAATGGGGAGCCGAGCGTAGCGACATTTATTAGGTTTTTAAATTAATACAAAAAAAACTAACATGATACCTATATTATTCTGACAGAAATAACAATATAAAAGTTGAAGGGTTAAACACCACCCGACAGTAATTGCACCAGAAATTAACATTGGATATCATGGCCAAAATAAAAAAAAATAAGATTTAGAAAAATTAAATGATTTTTTTAGTACTTAATTCAAAATATAGTTTAATAATTGTAATTTCACACATAAAGCATCTAATAAACAAAAGGTTACGAAAACTTAGTTGTCTACGAACGAACGAGCGAGCGGTCATCGTGGGTATGAGAGAATTTACCACATTATTGAGAGGTTGACTCACCAAAATCCGGATCAAGAGTTCATTAACACTAACCATTGTCTTTGGTCTTTTTTGCTCTGAAATTTCTCGGTAGGGTAATTCAGGTGTGACTACTGTCAAAGTTGCGTGACCTTACAAGACGGTTGGTTATTGTAGGACATGGTTTGCTTGGAATTGTTTTTCCTTATGCCATGACACGTTGAATATCCTGTCGTCACACATAATTTTAAAAGTATTTAAGCAGTCTTGAGTGTAACAAACGCTAGTGAAAGCAGAAAATGTACTGTACAGGAAAACTACGCTAAGAGACTTAGTTCTGATAAAATCTGAGTACCTAGATTGTATTTTTTCACTAAAATCAATCTTGAAATCTTACTAATATATATTGACCCAGACTTTAAATAACGTAGTTTGACTTTGAATCATTCCTTTCTTGAAGGAACATTATGGTTGCATTCTTCTTTTTCGAAACATGTGCGGTTCTTTTGCCAACAGTATTATTTGAGGTATTATGAAGTTTTTATTAGCTTTGGTCAACCAACGCATCAACGTAGTATGTGTTTGCAAACCTCACCTTAGAAAAATACTTCACAAGACTAAACGGTAATCGGTGTAGACGGTACATACATATACATAGTTAGTGGATATTTATAATAATTTTACATAAAGTTAAAATTTTCTTTCCTTCCCTCCTTTAACATTATCTTTTTCTGTACAAATTCGTAACAATCTGTCACCTTTTCTGAAGACTTTTGTGTTGTGTTTGAGTGTTTATGAACTCATCAATTTAAATATAAGTCTAATAAATAGGCCGTGATATAGGTATCTATGTACTAGTTGTGTAGGATCCATTTTTGTGAGATAAATATCCTAATTATATTTGTTAGCTACTTATATCCCGAGATTGAAAGATGGTGAGAGATAGTATATTATAGGTTCTATCTTTAGTCGTTGTGTGTCGTCTGTGTTGCACTTTATCTTTGATACAATTGCATTATTCATGTAACTGTCGTACTATTTTTTATAATTTTTTATAATCAACAAACCGCAACTTCACTTTAAACTGTTAGTCTGGATAGTACGTATATTGATAAGAGTGTAAAGACAGAGGAAAAGTGATATTTTTTAACAAACCAACAATAAAAATCACATTGCCCTGTTCATCACTGTTCTAGTCACGTTCTGTTAAACACCCGCGTGCATCCAAACACTAATATAACTTACCTGCGAGGCCTTTATTCTATGACCTGACTCATTTCCAAACACCTACATAAATATATGTCAATTAAAAAAAACTTAGAAGGAACTTGTTAGATCCTACTATTTTGCTGTAACCTGACTTGAGATTCAAATTTAGAAGATAATACTGAGAAAGCTACATCAAAATAAGTTTCGTATACGGATCCGATAGTCAAATTATATTAGGAATGTTCCTCTCGACCTCTTAAGCAACACCTACACAAATAACAAACTCGATCCAGTCAACTTACTTGATAAAACACCGGCCAGCAACGGGACTCCGCACAACTCCACACAGTATCAAAAACTGCCACTGCGAAACACCTCTTATCACATAAATAATAAAATACACTCAATGAACAACACTAAAGCGAACGTAGCATTCGATTTTAGAACGTAGCTTGAGCTTTTAATTCGTATTTTTTCGATCGTTTTCATTAAAAAAAAGGTTCGTTTTTAAGCGATAGGGTGGTAGGTCTGTACGCGGTATAGACCTTTGCCTCCGGACGCTACAAAGCCGGACTGAGCAGTCAGTGACACTGTGCATATTCTGCTCACCCTTTCTAGCTGTAACTTAAACGCTACGTTAGAAAGAGATAACAAATCTGAGGAATGCAACGTAATAGCTACTGTTGAACGCTCTCTCATCATTGGATCAAGTTTACTATACGAGAGAAAGAAAAAGAAACAATATTTTTAGCCTTACGAAGGTTCGCGGTGAGTACACTTGACAACGATGCGTAGAAAATGCAGAAAATTGAGGCTTTAAAGGTTAAGGCGACGACGCGCATGATTTAAAATATAAGATTGTAGGTTATGTTTATTACTACGATAGATCTGTTTTTATTCAGAAGTGAACATTGAAATGTTTTGACTAAATAGATTTGAATATTAATTTGTTTAAGTAATAAAGTTTATTTAAATTTATCATGTTTTTTGAGTTATGAAATGTATTAATAGGTATACTTATACATAAATACAATATATTTGAGCGCTTGGTAATTTTTATTAGTCTAATTGCATTAATTAGTTTAAATAACTTCCCCAAACTATCTGAAACTTTAGTAAAAAGTATTTAAATATTAAATCCCAAATGTTTTTATAGATTCATTATCTATTCTTTTCTTTGAGAACATAAGAAATAAATACTCTTCTTTTGTTCTTTTAAAGTACAAGGGACAGTGCTAGATAATTAGAAATCTTATATGAATTTGGTACATTTATGATTGTAGAAGAATTTTACAAGGCAATTAACTCAGACAATAAATAGCCAAAATATCTGCACAAACTTTACCTTAACCACTGGTTTAACTACTTGCTTTTCAAATATACACTTCATGCATTACATAATTAGACTGATTTTCCAATAGCAGTCAAGTATTTTACAAACCAAAGGCCTGAAGTTCGTTCTAATACAGTTGGCAACGTAGCACATCGCAGCATTAGGTTTGAAGTTAACAACATACAGTTAGTTTGCTAAAAGTTTCATAGGCAAAGGCTGTGTCAATTGGAGATGTAATTGTTTATTAATTTGCTTGCAATTTAGTGGGATTGTGCAAGGGAAAAGTCTCAAGATGCTAGCTACGGAGTATACATTAGAGTTATGCAACGTTTTTCACTCTGGACAAGTAAGTTAATGTTATATTTGGTTGTAGGTCATACGATTACTGTACGAAGCTTGTTCATGCGTTTGTTTATTATTAAGGCTTTATAAAGTTTAAAAACAAATGGTTATTTATGATGAATTAAGCACAAATATTAAAATAAACTATCTGAGAAATTAAATTCTTCATCCTGTAGGAAATAGTAGCTCGTTGATATCTTTTGTATAGGAATAAAATCAAATTTAATATTATTGTTTAATTTTCTGGATAAGTAATTGTATTATAGTTCACTCTATACTTATATAGTATTGTTTAAAAGAACGTACAGGAAAACACATTATTTACTTATATTTATCGTAGTCTTTGTTTGGAATCGTACAATACATGCGGTGATAGTTTTGCGAGAAAAATCATTCATATAAAGTTGTAATACTTCTATAATGACGAACAGATGTAATTGGTATTTACTGAGTGAATTATTGCTATAAAATAACATATATAACTGTTAACATTGTGTACCCATTTACCAAATTTTATGAAATTCTAAAGAATGTGATAAAATAGATAAATGAATGTTTCCGTCTGATTTTTTACATAAAAATATTATCTCAAAGTATATTTTGACTTGGTTGCAAGATTTTTTAGTTGCAAAATGGACTTTTTCAATGTTTTTTTTTTGCTATTCAGGTGGAGCCGGTTAGCTTTTTTCAGCGGTTGACAGGCGGAATTAAAACTGGAGTCATACTGAAAGATGTTTCGTTCACGACCCACAGCGGGGAGGTCACTGCTATCCTCGGATCTAAAGGTGATAAATATGTTATATCAATAGATACCAAAGACATAAAACTAGTTTTAACGGGTTAATACACGAACTTTATTAATTAATTGACTGACGATGCAAACCTGAAAAGGCTGCGAAACGTCAATAAATAAATAAAGTTCATGCATTAACCCGTTAAAACTAGTTTTATTTAATTAGTGATGTGCGTGAAAACCTAGCTTAGGCTGCGATTTTTTTTTGTCGGTAAAGAGCATAGAGCACACATGTTTAGTTGTTACACGGTATTCAACAAAAAGGATAAGCAGCAAATATATTTGCATAACATTAAAGCTTTGCTTATTTCAATTGAGTGAGGAGTGAGACGAGCAACTTTAGACAAGCGGAGCTATCAAAGCACAATTCATTACCAAATTACGGTAGGTACTTAGGTATAGGTAGCGGCAAACTTCTTCAGTGAAACCACAAACAAATAAACTTACGCAGTAGACGTTTTTGTATGTAAAATTGCTACTGAGCAGTTTTCGTTCTTATCTATGGTCGTTGCTCAAGAAGTCAGCCGGGGATACTTCCGGACACACCTATCGGGCCACTAAGGCTCGTATTACAGAATGACAACTAAGTGTTGATCTTTACTTGAGTACAGTTAGAAAGGAATGTCGCTATGTGCTATATATAGCGACATCTCTTTCTAACTATGCTCAAGACTAGATCAATCACTGAGAATCTTTCTATAATACAGGCCTTAGGCTCGTATTACAGAATGACAACTAAGTGTTGATCTTTACTTGAGTACAGTTAGAAAGGGCTGTCGCTATTTGCTATATATAGCGACATCCCTTTCTAACTATGCTCAAGACTAGATCAATCACTGAGAATCTTTCTATAATACGGGCCTTAGTGTTGTAAGTTTCAAGGTCTGTAACAAAATTATATGTTAATAGTTGATCAATAATTTTAAAACACACACGAAAAAATGGTCAATAAATCAACTGTGAAACTGCGTAGGTTATAACTTTTTGCTCACACTTACAAGATTTGTATGACAGGATTTTCATGTGCAATCCGGAAAATGGAACGGCATTTTGTATTGAAACTGCAACACTTAAATTTCACATTACTACACCAGGGCGAAGCAGGTCCTCCTTAATAACAATATGCTGATCGAACACAATCTAAATATTTTCAGGCAGTGGTAAGCGTGCCCTCTTGGACGTGATAGCTCGCCGAGTGCCGTCCAAGGGTCACATACTGCTGGAAGGAGTGCCTTTGGAGGAAGACCAGTTCAACAACACCTGCGCGCTGGTGCGCCACTCGACCAAACTGCTGCCGGGGCTCACGGTTCAGCAGACCCTGGCGCTATCACTTACTAAGGTGCCTTTATAACATCATCAGCGAATTTTCAAGCAATGGTAGGCACGCCCTTTTGGACGTACAGAGCTTACTTCGGCGATAAACTAATTGTTATGTGATAAAAATATTTACTTATTTATTTATTTGACATCATCAACAACAGCAAATGTTACCACTGCTCGGGCACACGGCACACGCCAATCTCATGATTGGGCCATGACCCACCATGACGGTGCATTCCAGATTTTATTTTATAAATTACTAGTTTCCGCTCGCGACTTCGCCCGCGTTAAGTTTAATTTTTTGAGAATCCCATTGAAACCTAACACTTTACCGAGATAAAAAAGTATCTTGTCTCAATCCAGATCATAAAATATATTCGTACCGAACTTCGTCCGTCCGTCGTCGTAATTAGTTAAGTAGTTTTTGCGAGATTGAGTAACAAACATTCATACTTTCACATTATAATATTAGTAGGCCTTTTAAAATTAAGTTGTACTTATTTGTTCTCATTTATTTTTGTAGATATCAGGCTACTTGAAATCATCGAAAGTGAAACAAGTGATGGCGGACTTGGCGTTGTCACAGGTGGGTGGTGTAAAAACTTCACCTAAAATAAAATGCATATTAAAATACTTACCTCACTGAAAGCTTTATATTGAGATGGTAATTAGACGGGAAACAGAAGTGCTACCTCAATATAAAGCTTTCAGTGACTTTATTAAGCTCAATTTTAGTTTTTTTTTTTCATTAAACTTGATTTTCATTTGTTTTTAGTCAAACAGACAATCGAAATTGGTTTTAATTACAATATTTTACAGGTTTTAAAGTTTTATTATACATTTTTTTGTAAAAGTCTAAGGCTAAAAAATAGTTTTTATTCAATTATACGTGTTTCCAGGTTGCTAACAAGTGTGTCACAACGATAACGAAGAGCGAATATAGGAGACTTGTTATCGGAGTTCAGCTTATCCGGGATCCCAGTGAGTAAATTACTTTTGCATAATGACATTGAATTTTAATACCAGAAAACTAAACTTTCGTTAAGCATATAGGGCCATTCACACGAATCTCCAATCTAATTAAAATCGCTCTATTAATTTCAACTATTACAGAGATAGTAAAAGGCTTAGACATAACTTCATATGAAAACTATTAATATTTTTGATTATTTAACTGCAAGATTACGAGAAAAACAGCCTCTACGTCCAGTCCGACACCTGGACCCCGATTCCCGCCTGAAACCTACAGTGGGATTCTGTAAAATGAAAGCTCACTTTCGTATTAGATAGCTGCTATTTTAGACATTCGTTTGATATATTAATGAAATTCGTTTGATATATTATTTAAATTCAGTAATGAAATTGTGTGCTATAAACCATAGTTATTAGATGGCTATGTTTCCTCTTTTTCAGTCATACTGCTTCTTGATGAACCAACTTGGGATCTGGACCCCCTGAGCACATATTTGATAATTTCTATACTCTCCAACGCAGCAAAGAAATATGGTACTGCCATCATACTTACAATGGAAAAGCCTAGATCAGGTACAATGCTGACGTATATTATTTAGTAGTTTATTTGTTATTCAAATCTAATAGGTATGGTAGAATGATGTTGATAGGTACCTTCCCTGTAGATGTCATAGCGAGAACGAGTGATAACCCATCAAAAGGACACATTGCGGATTAGTGGCTTCTAATAACTGCATATGAAGCTCGGTAGTGCTCAAGATATTACCTAAGCGCCTAACATAAAAGTCTTCTCCAAAATTTATGTACACGAAAAATAGAAATGTGCATCGGTCACAGAAACGATTAGGAGCACGATGGCGCAAGTGGTTAGTGCTTTCGGCTGCGATCGTTGAAGTAAACCAACTTTCGCAGTGATCGGTCATTGGATGGGTGACCAAAAATTTACTATCTCGAGCTCCTAGCTGCTTCGGAAAACACGTTAAGCCGTTGGTCCCGGCTGCATCTGCAGTCGTCACACCCACCAATCCACACTTGAGCTCGCATGGTGGGTCATGCCCCAATCTCCCTATTCCATCCATAGGGAAGGCCTGTGCCTGTGCAGTGGGGACATTAATAGACTGATGATGATGAAGACACAAAAACACATTACTACCTATTTGAACTCATTTCAACTAGATACGTACAACAAAATTTCTCTAATACAATTGATGTAGTAGTGGTACGACAACTCACCTACTTTGATACAAAACATGCGTTATTATGCTAATTTTCGTGAGCAAATTAAATAAAATCTATTTTACAATATGCCGGGTTAATTGCTTTGTTTCGTACAGTTTAAACAGTTGTCCGATTTGGCCACGGTTAAATAACATGCAAATGGGTCACTAGTGTTTATTTTGTTTAAATATTGAACAATGTAGTAACAATAAAAAGAAAGTTCTGCTGAAATGTAATCGAATGCGTGTAGGTATTAAATTAATATTATGGTTTATTTAATAAACATTGCATTGATTCCTTATGCTTTCTTCTTACCTTTTTTAAAATAAAGATGGTAGATGAAATGTAGCGCCCAAGACATCTGATTTTCGGGTCACATTTGAATGTCTACTAGAGAAATTGCCCAACCTTTTTATTTTACTGTTAGGTCAAAGTAGGACTAAGCTGGTGCAGTAAGTATTTCCATCTCATTAACGAATATCATATCTCGACTGACAAGACATTTACCCTTTAAAAAAATGGTTGCCTGTAAAGTCGGTTTTACGGGCGAAGATTTTACGTGACAACGTCTTTTTCTCGGTAGAATATTTATTGATATGAATATAATTAAATTGCACAATAGGAACAAGGAATTGAATGAAAATAAGAATTGCACAAATTTTAACTATAGAAATATATTTTGTTTACTAAAACATTGTACATGTAAACTTAAACTCATCGTAACGTTACCGAGCGTTACACTTTTTCATAAGTGACTCCCAGCCGCAACCTAATTTAAGACGTTGTCACGTCAAAAAGTCTTTAATGGTGTCGATTCTAGCATGATTCTCTAAACCTAAACTTAAATTTGACAGCAGTACATCCTTGTCATTCTTTACACAGAATGAAAAGGAGAGACTGATGTAAAATTTAGTTTTAAGTTTAGAGAATCACGCCAGAATTGGTACCATTGTCAAGCTCAGATCTAAAATTCTGCAGATCCCATGAAATTTCGAAATCAAAATTCATCGTTATATCTCTGATATCTGCTTCCAAACGTTTTTTCATTCTTAGATCGACTTCATTTTTATTAGACGATCTCGGTGGCCGAGTGTATCGTACGCTTGGTTTCATGGTGTCGCTGACTCGAGAGGTCCCGGGATCGGATCCCAGCGGGGGCAGATGTTTGTGTGATGAATACGAGCATTTCTACTCCAGTTATGGATGTTTAATATGTATTTCTATATATACTTATATATATTATAGCTATTAACGGGATTGTTACCATGTACCTTGTTTTTTATGAGTCTCCGATATTTCGGCACTGTTGCAAGCGCCATGATCACGGAGTAACTGAAGTAATTGCGGGTAGATGTTATTGGCAGACATATCGGTCTACCCTCTGACGTCGTCTTTTACTGCGCTCGATACCCCTACATTGGTCACATTCTCACTATTCACTCGCACCTGTTCCCGACACACAATACTCACAGTATCCGATCGCGGAACGACACTTTTTTGATTTTTACGGTTTTTGCACATACGAACCACTGGATTCCAGACACTTGACAATTTAAACCCATCCTCACGATTGAAATTTTTGTGTTTGGTTATTTCAATCGCTTCCCTGACCAATCTTGGTATGTAGTGGCGTTCTGTCGAGATGATTTGTGGATTATGGAGCTCAATCCAGTGATTCGGACCCGAATCGATTAAATGTTCCGCGATAGCTGATTTCTGCGTATCATTGTTTCTGACTGCTTTTATGTGTTCTTTCATTCGGCACGCTATTGTTCGCTTCGTTTGGCCAATATATGAACTACCACAGCTGCAGTCGATCTTATATACACCAGGTTTCTCCAAAGGGAAGTTGTCTTTGGGAGATCGTAGAAACTGTGACACTTTTTGTAAAGGAGTGAAGACAGTATTCAGTGAGTACTTATTAAGTATGTTCGAGATCTTGTCTGTCACTCCTTTGATATATGGCAAAAATACTGGTTGCCTGCTTACTATGTGTGTCTGGTGCCTTAATTTGTGTTTGGGTGGAAACTGTCCCTTGTATCCATTATTCTGTAGGACCCGCCGTACATACTCCAACTCTTCGTGCAGGTGTTCCTTGTCACACAAGTCATATGCACGGTTTGTCAGTGAAGTCACTACAGAGTTTAGATGTCTGGGGTGGTGATGCGAGGAGGCGTTGAGATAACGGTCTGTGTGTGTGAGTTTGCGGTGAATGGAATGACTCAGCGAACCATCATTCCGCACCCGAATCTTTACGTCAAGAAATGCCAGACGTCGGTCTTCTTCCATCTCATATGTGAAATGCATTTTGGTATGGACTCCATTTAAATTTACCAAATGAGCCTCGACATCTTCTTTGTTTCCTCTCAATATACAAAATACGTCATCAACATACCTCTTCCATAGTGCAATTTCTGTGGGGGCGGTGGCGAAAGCTTTTTCCTCAAAATACTCCATCCATATATTGGCAACGACTGGAGCTACCGGACTGCCCATTGCGACCCCATCTATTTGGAGGTAGTATTGACCCTGGTATATAAAGAAGTTCGTCGTCAAACAATGATGCAAAAACTTGGCATATTCCGTCGGGATGTTATTGTCTTGCAATTTCACCTTTACTACTTCCAAACAGTCCACCACAGGTACATTTGTGAAAAGTGATTCCACGTCGAAACTAACCATCAAGTGATTGTCTTCCACCTTGTTTTGGTGTAAGATTTCTACGAAGTGGCGGGAATCTTTTACAAACGACGATGTTCGTCCCACTATTGGCTGCAATATTTTTGCTACGTGCTTGGCCAGTTCATACGTAGGTGAGTCTATCTGACTCACGATCGGACGTAGCGGCACATTCAGCTTGTGTATCTTAGGCAGTCCATATAGTTTTGGAGGCTGGACGTTTCTAGGACGTAGCAAATATTTGACGGTATCGTCGTCTAGAGCGTAGGCACATTCTTTTATAAGTGAGCGGGTGCTTCGATCAGTCCTCGCCGTTGGATTGTAATTCACCTTAATATACGTGTTGGAATCAGTGAGTAGACTATGAATCTTGCTCTCATACTCAGTGATGTCCATTATGACAGTCGCATTCCCTTTATCAGCTTTGAGTATTATTATGTTATTGTTCTTTCGAAGATCTTGTAACGCAGCTGATTCGGAGGAAGTAATGTTCGGTCTTGGTGGCCTCGCATTACGTAACACCACAGCAACATCTTGTCTTAGCGTGTCCGCATCGATTGCTGGAATCTTGTTACGCATGAACTGGCCAAGCACGTAGCAAAAATATTGCAGCCAATAGTGGGACGAACATCGTCGTTTGTAAAAGATTCCCGCCACTTCGTAGAAATCTTACACCAAAACAAGGTGGAAGACAATCACTTGATGGTTAGTTTCGACGTGGAATCACTTTTCACAAATGTACCTGTGGTGGACTGTTTGGAAGTAGTAAAGGTGAAATTGCAAGACAATAACATCCCGACGGAATATGCCAAGTTTTTGCATCATTGTTTGACGACGAACTTCTTTATATACCAGGGTCAATACTACCTCAAATAGATGGGGTCGCAATGGGCAGTCCGGTAGCTCCAGTCGTTGCCAATATATGGATGGAGTATTTTGAGGAAAAAGCTTTCGCCACCGCCCCCACAGAAATTGCACTATGGAAGAGGTATGTTGATGACGTATTTTGTATATTGAGAGGAAACAAAGAAGATGTCGAGGCTCATTTGGTAAATTTAAATGGAGTCCATACCAAAATGCATTTCACATATGAGATGGAAGAAGACCGAAGTCTGGCATTTCTTGACGTAAAGATTCGGGTGCGGAATGATGGTTCGCTGAGTCATTCCATTCACCGCAAACTCACACACACAGACCGTTATCTCAACGCCTCCTCGCATCACCACCCCAGACATCTAAACTCTGTAGTGACTTCACTGACAAACCGTGCATATGACTTGTGTGACAAGGAACACCTGCACGAAGAGTTGGAGTATGTACGGCGGGTCCTACAGAATAATGGATACAAGGGACAGTTTCCACCCAAACACAAATTAAGGCACCAGACACACATAGTAAGCAGGCAACCAGTATTTTTGCCATATATCAAAGGAGTGACAGACAAGATCTCGAACATACTTAATAAGTACTCACTGAATACTGTCTTCACTCCTTTACAAAAAGTGTCACAGTTTCTACGATCTCCCAAAGACAACTTCCCTTTGGAGAAACCTGGTGTATATAAGATCGACTGCAGCTGTGGTAGTTCATATATTGGCCAAACGAAGCGAACAATAGCGTGCCGAATGAAAGAACACATAAAAGCAGTCAGAAACAATGATACGCAGAAATCAGCTATCGCGGAACATTTAATCGATTCGGGTCCGAATCACTGGATTGAGCTCCATAATCCACAAATCATCTCGACAGAACGCCACTACATACCAAGATTGGTCAGGGAAGCGATTGAAATAACCAAACACAAAAATTTCAATCGTGAGGATGGGTTTAAATTGTCAAGTGTCTGGAATCCAGTGGTTCGTATGTGCAAAAACCGTAAAAATCAAAAAAGTGTCGTTCCGCGATCGGATACTGTGAGTATTGTGTGTCGGGAACAGGTGCGAGTGAATAGTGAGAATGTGACCAATGTAGGGGTATCGAGCGCAGTAAAAGACGACGTCAGAGGGTAGACCGATATGTCTGCCAATAACATCTACCCGCAATTACTTCAGTTACTCCGTGATCATGGCGCTTGCAACAGTGCCGAAATATCGGAGACTCATAAAAAACAAGGTACATGGTAACAATCCCGTTAATAGCTATAATGTTAGTGACCATGAAAGTTTAAAACAATATACTTATATATATATATATAGTATATGTATTCTATCCGTTACCCTAGTATCCCATAACACAAGTCTTACAGTGCTTACATTAGGGCTAGGCTAAATGGTGTGAATGTTGGAAATATTTATTTATTTATAACTTTGGTCACTGCTTACAGATGTGTTTCCATTCCTGGATTGTGTTGTGTACCTCTGCCTCGGAGACGTGGTGTACGCGGGCCCTACCAGAAACCTCCTGGACTACTTCGGCAGCATCGGGTTCCCGTGTCCCCAACTCGAGAATCCGCTAATGTATTACTGTAAGTTAATTAATGCACTTGAAGTTACTTGGTTTTATCAAACCTAAAACCTTGATCTCAGGCATTTCTTTTTTTTATAGGAAGAACGACTTTTTTTAGATATACATACCTGGGAAAATACTTCGCCATACTTGATGTTAAATGTTAGTGGAGTCCGGACGCGAAGATAGCTGGTACAGCAGTTTCGCGTGATGGATGCTGGATAAAATAATGTGCTCTGTAACTCAGGATTGTAGGGATTCCTAATGAGTCTTCTATCGCAAATAAGGAAGATCTGAATCTTCATGTGTTATTGGTTAATCACCAAATTTCAAATCTAAAATTGGAATACTTTCACAACAGCTAATTTCTTAGTATAACCTACAAGAGAATGCGTTGCCTTCCAGCCTAAGGCTAGAGAAAATTCGACACGGCCGTCAGGGTCGCGGTAGCATAATGGTCAGTGGATTCGCCCGAATAGCGAAGGGTGGGTTCGAGTCCCGTCTGCTGCCTGGTCCACGTGGATTTTTTTCTAGTATTTTTTTCTTTAGATTTAAACATCTAGCAGTTACCTAAATGCTTAAAAAATCTAAAAATATAATTAAATTTATGTCGTAACTTTAAAGTTAGTCGGAACTTTGCGCGATGTGTGTCTCGATCGACCTAGAATAGCACCACTTCTTACGTCTCATGGGTGTCGTAAAAGGCAATTGCGGAAGCACAGCCAGCAGAATACGGGCAGCAGAATCTTCTTCATTATCTTGACTACACTGCCAAGCCTGCCAAACATGGCGGTTTCAAATTAAAAATCTGCCCCTAGACCCCGGCAGCCCGCTAGTTCTAGCCACGCTCACGAGGAGGACCCACGATCACGCCACTGAATACGAAAAGCGAAGATTGATTCGGTACGGAGATTCTTGGGAGAGGCCTATGCTCAACAATGACTAATGTACTACTGAATTCAAAACAGGCCGATCAGTTAGAAATTATTTGGAATGCTTCCACTATGTCTGCTGACTGTTTACAGGCGGTCAAGAGAGAGGTTCATCGACCAGATAGCGGCGTTAGTAGAGAAGTTCAAGCTGGAGGGGCTGGTCATCAAATCGTGCTGATAAGATAGCTTTGAGAGTTATTTCTTCTTTCTGCCAGTATGTCTATCGATGGTAGACAAGCGGTCCAGAGAGAGGTTCATCGATTCCCATCACAAGATTCCGGTGTTAGTAGAGAAATTCAAGCTGGAGGGGCTGGGCATCAAATCGTGCTGATAAGCTAGCTTTCAGAATTGTTTCTGTTTTCTTCCAGTATGTCTATCGACGGTGGACAGGCGGTCCAGAGAGAGGTTCATCGAGTCCAACCACCAGATAGCGGCGTTAGTAGAGAAGTTCAAGCTCGAAGGGCAGGGCTTGATGCAGGGTCACGCAGGCGAGCATAGCCGCATCGTCAACCCCAACAAGGCATACGGCAAGCCGGCCGGCGCGCACGTCATCTGGATGTTGTACGTGTAAGTAGCCAAAATTTTACTTTGAAAGCAAATAACTATTTTTTTAACATGTAATTAACAAACCTAGACAGATTTTTTGAAGGAGATAAAATTTTTGTAGCGCTATCTACTGAGTTATTCAGATAATCTAATACAAAATTTAAGAATTGGAAATATAATGGTAGTTTTTAGGGTTCCGTCCGTCTGTCAAGACCGTTTTTCTCAGGAACGCGTGGAGGTATCAAACTGAAATTCATATCTAATACTCATGTCTACTGTCCCTTGGAGCTGTGAAAAAAACAAACTTCTAAGCCAAAGCAATCAAAAGATACAGCCGTTTATGCCGCAAATTTTCGAAACTCGCACGGGAATCAAAACCTACAAGGTACTTCCCGTGAACTTAGAATCTTGAAATTTGGTTCGAAGTAACGTCTTATAGTACAGATAAAGGAAATTTCGCGAAAACCGAAATTTTTAGTTACAGCATAATAAAAAAAAAATTTTTGAAAATATAAAAGTTACTAACTCTTTAACGCGTAGAGGTATTAAATTGAGTTTGTACGTAACCCTCGGTGCGCGAGTCCGACTCGCACTTGGCCGGCTTTGTAAATGTCCTTTAATCACCGAAGCCGAGAATTTACCTATGGATAGACACTTGTCAAGAAGGGGTTTTTAAGACAACACTAGAACTGTGTCAAAAAGCCTCAAAAATCAATAAGTACCTGCCATTTAATCAACGCGATTATTTTGTAAGTATAATTAACATTTAGACTAAACGCGAAAACAACTACGCCAAAGAGCTTCTCAAAAAATAGAAAAATACTCATTTAGTTAAGTAGCTAAATGGTATTTTAATTTCATAACATAATTTAAATTAAAATTTCAAATGTTCTTTCCTGTTTCAGGCGGATGTTAGTGTCAATTTTCAACTTGAAAAAGAACGGGCTGAAACAGATGTTCATGCGATTATTTTCACTGCCCATCTATTTCTTGATATTGTGGATCTTTTACAACGAGGCGAAGGTAATTTCCCAAATATAGTAACAGGTAACATTTTTAAACTGGTAAATTTGTAAGATTTACAGTGGGCGTTTCAGGTGACTAGAGTGCCTGCCTACTCAGGCAACTCCACATTATAAATAACCTATATCCAAATAACACGAGAAATAAGGCACGAGCTCCTTTTTACCTATGCTCACAATAATCTTACTCCTACCTATTTCTTATTCTCACTATAATCTAACTCCTTCTATATCCTATGTACCTATTCTCTAACTTTTACCTATTTCCCATTTAGCTATTCTCACTATAATTCTAACTTCTACCATTTCCTATGTACCTATTCTTTCAATAATCTTAAATTTACCTATTTCCTATGTTCACTATAATCTAACTTTTACCTATTCTCACTATAATCTAACTCCTACCATTTCCAATGTACCTATTCTTATACCCGCCATACACACTACGAGAAATCGTTACGATCAGACTGTACTGTTTAGGAAACTGTGCAGTTTTATAACATACACGCTACGATTTATCGGTACCGTTCGGACTGTACAGTCTAATCGTAACGATTTATCGTAGTGTGTATGGCGGGTATTACAGTAATCTAAGTTCTACCTATTTTTATTAACCTATTCTCACAACAATATATACTAGATGCCATGATGTATGCATTATAAGGTCAAGCTTGTTTGTCAACTTATTGTTTTTCAAGACTTTTTACATCTTTGAATAAACAAACTGTTTCCTCTTTCACAGGATTACCAAAGGGCGTTCATCACAAAGAGTGGATTAATATTCAACGCTATGGTCGGCACTTACTTTGTCAGCATTATGAACACGATATGTTTATGTGAGTTAGCTTATGTACCTACAGTCGCAGTTTTAGAGCATAGGTGCTTATTAATCCGCGTGATGGACTGTTCTTACTCACCCTTTTCATATTTTCAAGTATTTTCTTTAGGAGCTCACAACTTGAGCGCTTAAACTAAACTACGGGAGGACACAAAAAAACAGAAGAACAACTCTTTTTTTACTGTTCTGTGTTCATGTTAAATACAACACAATGTTATCCTAGAATCTTAATATATATAAATCTCGTGTCACAATGTTTGTCCTCAATGGACTCCTAAACCACGCACACCATGTACAGTTCGATCCAACTTGAGAGATAGGATAGTTTAAATCTCAAATTATAGTCGCAATTTTAATTTATTGCAAATTATTACTTTTGGGCGGTACGAAGCGAAGTTCGCCGAGTCAGCTAGTATTTTATATATTTCGAGCGAAAAATGTTCGCACATCGCGTGTGCTAAGTACGTGACAAGTACTCGGTGGACATTTTCTCCGCAATTCAGGGACTTTTGTCCTCCACTGACAAAGGCCCGCGTCTGCGCAGGCTATAATTGTTTTTACCTGTCTGTTATTGTTATAGGATTATTGTTGTTGTGTATAATTATTATGTACTAGCGGCCGCCCGCGGCTTCGTACGCATGGAGTTAGTAAGAAATAAAGGTTCACTGCTCGTTCCCCGTAGGTGATAGCTACTTAATAATATTCGTGCCAAATTTTAAGTAAATCCATGCAGTACTTTTTGAGTTTATCCCGGACATACATACAGACAAACAGACAAAAATTCTAAAAACTATATTTTTGGCTACGGTATCGACTGTAGATCACACCCCAAGTATTCTTTTAAAAAATATTCAATGCACAGTTTTGACTTTCCTACCATTTTATTATATGTATAGATTGCACTTTGTTTCAACTAAATACTTTCAATGAGCTACGTTCCTCAGTCGGTCCGTACCGTAGCCGCTACTACCAGGAGTCGCAGGAGGGACTGTACAGCGGCGCCAGTCTGCTGCTCTCCTGGAACGTGGTCTCACTGGCTTTCTCCTTCATCACTACCTTCGCGTCCGCCGCTATTATATATCCGTAAGATTTTTCACACACACACACACACACTCCTTAGAATCAATAAAATAAATAAATAAATATCACACCAATTCTATTAGCATAACTACAAAGTAAGCACTGTAAGACTTGTGGTATGGGTTACTAGGGTAACGGATAGAATAGGTACTACTACTATAATCATAATCAAACATCATTTAGTCAGTTTAGGCTGTTACAAGCACTCCTGAATGTCTAGATGCTACGCCATCGGTTCGTGTATCTACGGCGGGAGTAATACCTACTATAGAAACTTAGGTACAAATGCCCTAACTGGATTCGAACCCGGGACCTCTGAGTAGACATCTTGATGCCCAGCGTATATACCACTACCACGGAGGTCGTCAGAGAATGTTAGTTGTCCTAATAAGTATTTCTTCAAATTTCACCTAACATTCAATTTATTTTCTTCTCTATCTCTAATGATTGTAGCCGTAATACGATGCGGATCCTCGTTTACTTTTGGAATTATGCTTGCGTGCCCGAGCTGAATGACTTATCTTTCTATTCAATCTTCATCATATTTTACGTCAACCATAACCAAAATCCCCCAACCCTAAAGCCGATCCGAGGAACAGAGTAGTCTTGTAGAACTTTCGTTGACTAGTAACTAGAAACTTGACAGGGTTGTTTCTGGGAACGAACTACATATTAGCGCCCAACCAATGATTGAGATGTGTCTACAGAAGTGATGTTTATATATTCTCAAACAGTTATGCCAACCCCGCAAATAATGGCTTGGAAATATGGGTTTTATAAGACAGGTAGATAGCGGATTTTAGTTTACAGAAAACCACAGCAAAATAACACTGGCTTTTGGTAATGTTGTGTTTGTGTCTGTGAGTAAGTGTGGCCATTAGGCGGGCTATATGGTTGTTTGCTAACTCTTTAACTAAAAAAAAAACATTATTGTTTTAGAATCCTGGGTGACATAACGGAAACCCTAGACTACGTATACTTCGCGCTTGCCCTGTGGTCGTGCTACATCTACGGGGAGCAGCAAGCCATCGCCATCATGATGGTCGTGAAGAACGGACTTGTTGCAGCCGTCGCTAATATTTACATCACTTGCATTTATATCATGCTCGCTGGTGGCGTGCTAAGGTAGATTCATTATAGACCTAAAAATTATACTGGAAAAAGATCCCAACTGTAAAGGGCCTGTGAAATAGGGCCCAGGTATTAGAAAGGATTCGAACCTACGCTTTACGCTATATGAGATGAAAATGACATTTTAATGGTATTTTTACGTAGCAGAAACATTAGAAAGTTTCAAATCGAGCTTTACAAAGCGACATAACTGAAAAAAAAATCTTCTTTCAGATCCTACAAAGGCTTGGAGGACTGGCTGTACTACATCACATATATAACGCACACGCGGTACACCTCCATATTCCTGCACCAGAAAATCTTCAAGCAACCTACCTTCAACATTCTACCGTACAACGACCAAGAGAACTGCACCTCCATTACCAGTCTCATACAAACCTCCTCGAGTCTCAATACCAATTCTAATTCCAACTGCAGATACGCTAGCGGCAAAGCTTTCCTAACCGAACGATTTACCTCCAAGAATTTCGCAGGAGACATTTACACCTCCGGAGATTTCAACCTAGAGTTCAATCTCGGAATCTCTTTCGCGTTTTCTGTGGGTATCATGGTCTTAAACAAATTCATCTACTTAATGCCGCTGCCAAGTTACATAAAAGATAAGTTTAGAGAATGATGGATAAAAAAGAACTCATGAAATCTCAAAGGCGAATGCTAACAGGAATATTATTTAAAACGCTAGGTATTATAATAAATGATTAAGGTCAGATTAGGCGAATAAGCGGCATAAGTTTTATTATTAAAAAAAAACACAAAATTATATAATAAAGATAATGATGATATCAACAAATGTTTGGGTTTTCATTTAATAAAACCAAAACTTATTGTGTACTTTTTATTCAACATTACATCCAACACATTTGCAAAAGTGCAAAGTTAAAAAGTTACATAGCTTATTTTTAATTATTTCGCCGAAATGCGGCAACTGATACCATTTTTCATTAATTTGAGGCAGTTTTTAGAAACTGTTGCATACTATTCAAAACAATAAATATATGCTTCATCAAGACCAATGGATAATGGCTTTAACTAAGTCGCGATAATAGAAGGACACTAAGATGCCTTCACTTTTAATTATCAAGGTGAAAGAGAGTGAGAGAGAATAAAGCAAATCTGGTCTTTAAGTATCAACTAAAGTACGGCCAACGAGAAGCGATACGAAGTGTATACAAATCAAATTAATATATTTGTATCTTTATTCAAATTGGATATATAGAACAACTCTATTGAATCGTCCAAAAATAATATATTTCCCTACCACTCGTTATTGGATTCACCTCAATATCCAATGCAGGGGTTGGCAACATTATCATTTTAATAGGTATTCTAATAAAATATAGAAAACAATACTCCAAATTATTAAAACAGAAAATTTCAACAGTTCATAAAACAAAAAAAAATGTTATTTTTACCGCGAGTAGTATTGGAAAGACACAGAACATAATGAAAATAAGTAATTAATTTTTACTGTATAATGAGCGCCCGAATGTTGGCGAGACATAACCGAACGATACCTAATGTATATGAGATGAAAGAGACGGTTATTACTAATAACTGTAATAACTTATTAGACTGTCAGTCTCATAGTCTCGTAAAGGTGAATGAACTTTTGTATCGCTTCTCGTTGACCGTACTTATGCATATTTTCAGATGACTACGACTTGGATTGTAATTTTATTACAGGTAATAAATTAAGGTTAATAAATTAACAGATTCAATTCTACCAAATTGCAAATCGTAAACAGAGCGGTCCTTTAAACAAACAATTTGTCAGAAAAACGAGCGGTCTTATGTACAAACAAATTTGTCGGAAAACCTTAAAAAAGTTACACACATCTTGTAGTTCCTCTTTGTTTTGAATAGTACGCAATGTATGTTTTTGGTAGTCGGTTTGTGTCGCCATCTATGTGATTGTGAAATCCTCGATGACCTTAGGGTAAGTATAGATTACAGCGGATTCGGATTGGCCATCTGTTTCATTGATTTCCGCGGCAATGCACGAGGCTCCTTCGTCTACAAAAAAAATAATTAGTATTTAATATGGTAAAATCGAATTGATGTATTGAGAAGACTTTGTAAGTAAAATTTTAAGATTGTAATTTTCAAGAAGTGTAATAATAAATTGTTTCTGTTCCCTGAAGTCACACTGGGAATCCCTATATATATACATATATTATTTTAATATTCTTTATCAAGTGTCATGATGATTTATGCTGTATAGTGTTATCGAAATAGCACTTTACGCTAAATCATCAGCCTATAAATGATGGAGCACAGGAACATTATCCTCTATGGACAAGAATGGGTCAAGACAAGCCCAGTGCGGATTGGCGGGTGGTAACGGCTGTGCATCCGAGGCACAAGGCTTTCGAAGCATAGAGGAGCTAATTTTTTGAAGAGAAAATTTTAGGTCAACCTTTGTGATGGCTCACTAAGGAAAAATGAAGTACGTGTTTATATGGGATATGCGTCTGTTCGACCCGGAAGTTGTTTCAAAAGTGTGTCATCAAGATTGAGGTTACCCCCAAGGATTGGATAAAAATCACGAGGGTAGGAAGTTGGGTGAGGGATATGACACTATCGAAAACATGATAATTAAGTTTGTGGAAATAATCGATTCCAAATCTACTACATTCTATGAGTAATTATGGCAAACTGGCGTTACCCACTGTGCCATCAAGATCCTCATAATGCGTAATGTTATTTTACATAGTTTGGTTGACCTAAATGTTTTACATACATAACAGCTGTTGCTGACAGCGAAAGCAAGTAGGTATGTGCTCAAATAGGCCAGATTTACCATGAATGGTTATGTGTCAATTAGGGCATGCAAATCGGATATCCGGATATCCATTTTTTTTTATAGAAAGGTCCGACAAATGACGCCACCCCACCTGATGTTAAGTGAAGGTGACGTCCAGACGCGAAGATAGCTGATACAGCAGTTCTACCTGCCACACCAGTCTTCCTCACCCTGCCGGCCTGCATGTTGCTTCTTCACGCCTCTTTTAAAGGATCCCAGGTTGTAAGAGAGACGGAACACGTGAGCGGGCAGAGCATTCCATTTACAGATAGTGTGACAAAGAAATGAGTCACCAAAAATATTCAGATATTCGCCACATTTACTATTCGGATAGCATCTATATAATTACTGAAGTGGTATTTAGAACAGGCATGTATATCCGATTTTGCGTGCCCATTACCTTGCCACCGAAAATTAAAAAAATGGTTTTATGAAACCTCGATGCAAATGAACGTATTAAAATCATTAATAAAAAAGTCCTTCTTCGGCTGGGATCGAACCCGGGCCGTTCGCATAGCAGGGCTTTCTACCACTGAAGCACCGACCGATGCTTGTTGTTAAGATCAGAGTATTTTAATAACAATTAAAAATATAATGCGACAAGTTAAAGATTAACGAAAAAAATTGTAATGAAAGTTTCATTTTAAAAATGTGTGTAAGTGTGCACAGTGCGAATGCTATTACATTTCGTAATAGTTCGCGCTTCGCGAATATTCATCATCATCATCAACAGCCTATCTTAGTCCACTGCTGGACATAGGCCTCTCCAAATGCACGCCACTTAGATCGATCTTGGGCTACTCTCATCCAGCTCCTGCCAGCCACCTTGCGCAAATCGTCACTCCATCGCGCCTGAGGACGTCCTACACTACGTTTGCCTAGACGCGGTCTCCACTCCAGAACTCGTCTACCCCAACGGTTATCGGTTCTTCGACAAATATGGCCAGCCCACTGCCACTTCAACTTGCTAATCCGGTGGGCTATGTCGATAACTCTGGTTCTCTGCCGGATTACCTCATTTCTGATGCGATCCTTCAGAGAAACGCCGAGCATAGCCCTTTCCATAGCGCGTTGAGCGACTTTGAACCTGTGGACCAGCCGTACCGTCAGTGTCCACGTCTCGGCTCCGTATGTCATCACAGGTAGGACGCACTGATTGAAGACTTTCGTCTTCAGACACTGTGGGATCGACGATGTCAGGACTTGACTAACTTCCCAAACGCTGCCCAACCTAGCTGAATTCTTCTATTCACCTCGTCCTCAAAGTTGTTTCTACCTAACTGCAATGTCTGCCCGAGGTACACATATTTTTGAACAACTTCGAGAACGGCACCGTGTATTGCAATCGGTTCCGGTAGAACATGTTCATTGAACATGACCTTGGTTTTATCCAAGTTCATCCGTAGGCCGATGCGTATAGAAGAGTCAGCCAGGTCATTCAGCATCTGTTGTAGGTCCTGCAGGGTTTCTGCCATGATGACGATGTCGTCTGCAAATCGCAAGTGAGAGATGCGTTCGCCATTTATGTTGATGCCACGTCCTTTCCAGTTCAGCGTCTTGAACATATCCTCCATTGCATTAGTGAACAATTTCGGGGAAATAACGTCCCCTTGTCTCACTCCACGATGCAATGGTATGGGACTTGTTTGCTGATTCTGTACTTGGACAGACATGTTGGCGGCTTCGTACAGACATCTAATCACTTGGATGTATCGCCAGTCGACTTGGCAACGCTGCAGGGACTCCAGAACAGACCAGATTTCAATCGAGTCAAAGGCCTTCTCATAGTCCACAAATGCTAGGCACAGGGGCTGATTGTACTCTTCAGTCTTCTGTATAATCTGCCGCACTGTGTGTATGTGGTCTATGGTGCCGTATCCGCTCCGAAACCCAGCCTGTTCCGGTGGTTGGAAGTCATCAAGTCTTCGCGCAAGACGGTTCGCGATCACTCTTGAGAACAGCTTATAGACGTGGCTTAGAAGGGATATGGGTCGATAGTTCTTAAGTTGGGTCTTGTCCCCCTTTTTAAAGAACAAGACAACCACACTCCTACTCCACGCCTCCGGAGTTCTCCCTTCGAACAGGACAGTGTTGAAAAGCTTTTGGAGCTCCCTCAGTACGGGTTTACCTCCAGCCTTTAAGAGTTCTGTTGAAACACCATCCTCTCCAGGGGCTTTTCCATTTTTAAGCTGTCCAAGAGCAATTTCGATTTCGCCAATACTAACTTCTGGCAGGTCTTCGGTGAAGTGGCGTGTTAATGTGGCTCTAGAATCCTCATTTCCGGGATCGGGTCGAGATGCATGTGATGCGTACAACTGGCTGTAGAAGTCTTCCACTTCCGAAAGAACTGCCGGCTTTGAAGCAACAACTTCCCCACTTGCTGTGGTCAACTTCGTCAGATGGCTTCTTCCAAGAGATTGTACGAACACTTTGGATCCTCGATTCTGCTCGATCGCTCTCTCGATCGAGAGAGTATTGGAGCACCGGAGGTCGCGTCGTACGTGCTTACTGATCTCTTGGTTTAGAGTCCGCTTTGCCGACGAAGTGACGGGTGGATTTTCACGTCGTTCCTTCATTAGCCCTAAAGTCTCTTCCGAAAGCTTTGACTTCCTGCCCTTACGCTGCGTTGCACATAATCTCGTACCCTCTTCCCTGAGGATCCGAACCACATTTTCGAGGTTTTGGTTTACGTCTGTTGTGGTTTCCACGGCAGCAAATCGGTTCTCCAGATTTGACTGGAACGTTTCAGACCCTGTTATAGATTGGAGCAGAGTAGGTTGGACCCTGTATTTCATCAAACGGACGCGCTCGGCCTTAAAGTTGATATTCAAAGAGCCCCGGACGAGTCGGTGATCACTACCGGTATTGAACCTGTTGATCACTGAGACGTCTCTGAATATGTACCTCTTGTCCGTCATGATGAAATCGATCTCATTTTTAGTCATAGTGTCGGGGCTTTGCCACGTCCACTTCCTTTGGGGTTGTTTCTTGAAGAAAGAGTTCATCAAGAAGAGCCCCTCCCGTTCGAGGAAGTTGACGAGCATTTGCCCCCTATGATTTCTGCTTCCAAATCCATGGGATCCTACTACCGATTCGCTGCAATTCTGTACTCCCACTTTAGCGTTGAAGTCCCCCATAACAACGTTGTAGTGGGTCTTAGTAGTGGAGTGGAGGGCCCTCGATATATCATCGAACATATCCTCCACTTTGTCGTCCGAGTGTGTCGAGGTCGGTGCGTACACTTGCACCACCTTGAGGCTATACCTCTCGGTGAGCTTTATAATAAGGTACACTACCCTGTTCGACACGCTGGATATTTCCATAACGTTATCGGCAAGGGACTTATTCACCAAAAACCCAACGCCACCTTGGGACTGTTGGTCTCCCCCGCGGAAGTACATAATCGCGAATATTATTGCCTGAGAAAGAGCAGGCCGACCGCATGCAGGAAGATTAGAGAGCAGGCTTTTGTGCCAAATCCTGTCGCGAAAGCCTTGGCATCAAGGCGTCAAATATATATATATACATAGGCGATAGCCAAAGGCGCACCCCTTTTGTCAATAACCTCAACTCTGATATGTCACCTATGCTAGAAGGTCACCCGTCGATCGTTTTGGCCAAAATCCGTATTGACGATCGTTAATCAGAGAGTGGTCCTCTAGGTAGCGGGTCAGATGGATATAAGTCAAAAGTCAAAAATTCTTTACTCAGTTATGGATCCTTTCTGCGCAATAATGAGGTGACAACTATCGGCCGGTAGTTGGCCGGATCTGAGCGGTCCCCTTTTTAGGTACCGACACATTGGTATCTCTCCAAGTCTTCGGCACACGCTACAAAGAGTACGAGAGATGGTACAAGCGCGTAAGCATAAGAGACAACTCTGCTGAACAACGTTTAAGTACAACTGTTGGGATGCTAGCTTTCCGAATGATACATCTCGCTGCCGGATTTTAACATCAATCATGTTGGATTAGACTTAAAAATTAAAGGCAACAACAAGAAAAAGCTATTTTGGAATATAGCATATCCTAGTCTCAATTCAAGAAGAAAATGGCAGAAGTATTTCTGCTAATTCCTTCTAGAAATGAGACTAGGGTATGCAATATTCGAAAAAGTTTTTTTTTATTTTTAAAGGTTGGTAAACAACCTTATGGCTCGTCTGTTGGTCAATTGCCTAAAGGAATTGCTATGGCTATGGCTTCGCTAACGATTTCATTTTGTTATTTCTGACCACCGAAGGTTTTCAAATACCTCACGCTCATTTTCTTTGATATTGTTATTACCAATGCAATAGAAAGAACGAACGCGAGGTATTTGAAAATCTTCGGCGGTCAGAAATAACTAAATGAAATCGTAAGCGATAGCTATAACCATAACAATCCCATAAGGCGATTGGCCCCCTGATGGTAAGCAGCTACCATGACCTATAGAATAGACGCTTGCGATTTATGAAGAATCAATAAATATCTTACCTCCTCCATATACCACTATTTTATTGAGTTTGTTTATGGTTACCTGCAAAAAAAAAAGTCTTTATTAAGTAATATTTAATTATATGAGATAATAAATATAAAAACTTTAAAGGATGAGAGACTAGACTAGGAGGTATAGTGGACTAGGAGAGGCAGACTTTGGCTAGAATTGAAAAGTCCATTATCAGTCATTCCAAATATCCATAAACTAGTAGAAGTTTGCAGGCAAAATACTTTATATAGTGTTATGTTACTGTAGAGAATCAGGCAATGCAAAGTACGGATCAGTACCCCTAGCACGAACCAATATCGAATTCGTATCATTTGCGAGTCCGAAATGTCATTGTGAAATGTGTACTGATTTTTAGTTCTCATTACGTAGTTTGTGCCGCTGCTGTTCAAGTTTCCATAAAAAATTTGACATTGACATTTCGGTTTGCAAACTATTCGAATTCGATAAAGGTTCGTGCTAGGGGTACTGTTCATACCGTGGCTAGCAGCACCTTGGTCAACAAGCAATGATGATTTGAAGTCAAGAGAAGCAGTGGTGAAGAAAAAGGTTGTCTGTGACTTTATTTTGCCAAATTCACAAGCATTACTTTTATGTGAGCTGTTACATCTTATGAAAGTCGAAAAACTTCACCATCAGCTTACAAATCTACCGCGGGTGAACTTAAAGTTAGAAGATTTCAAGTTTAAGAGTATACAAAGAATTACTTTACTCACAGGTGATAAGGCAGTTTCTCTAAATTTTTTCAGGTACAATTTTAATGGTTCCACATAATTGTCAAATCCCAAAGTGTTCATTGCAAAGAGAACATCTTCACCGTTGATTGTTTTCCGTTTCTCAACTTGACACCTATCACTAGCTTCACTCGTAACAAAGGAAATGAATTCTGATATGCATTCTTGTACACATTCTCTTGCATCTTTCGCTATCTGAAATAAGAAATTTAAAATGGTTAGAAAGGCCTGTTCAATTGTATTTTTACCAATTGTAACTACACATACTAGACCACATATATAATATTATAGCTATTTCTTCTTTCAATGTTTAATACTTATAAAGGTGTTCATTTGACATGTGGGTTACCTACAATGCCCAAGAAAAGGGGCTGCCTTGCAGCTTAAGAAAGGCTAGAGACAATTCGACATAGCCCTCAGGGCTGCAGTAGCATAATGGTCAGTGCAAATGCCCGGACAGCGAAGAGTGCAGGTCAGATTCTGGCTGCAGCCCGGTTTGCATGGAATTTTTTCTAGTAAAATGTTCTTTAGACCACATAGTTTTAAAATAAATTTATATTTGTTTTGTAACAATTTTTTTATAGTACAAATTACTGAAAAATGACTATTTATTATAGTAAATTTTTGAACTGACTTATTTTCTTTTTATTAAAACAAAATTCAAGACAATTATGTCACAAAAAAAAAGACTTCAAAGTAACTACTACGAAAAACGATATGAATTTTTTAAACCTCACTAGCAGAAACCATTAAAAATACACAAAAAAAATATAACTTGAAACCTAAGAAAAATTGCAGAACATACATTTTCGGATACCCAAGGTGCGATAAATCTAAAAAAAAATGTTGATGTCACTAATTGGACCACCCAGTATATGCAACCTGTAACATCCATGACATGGAATGAACCATGGGCTGCTGGTAGGTGATACAAAACTATATTTATACAAGTTAGTATTGAACAAATTAATTTCATAAAACTATTTCATCTTACTTATGATTACAAATTGTTGACCATCATATTGGGAAATGCAGTACCTTATACTTGGCAGTACACAAAAATAAATAGTAGATTATCCTGGAGGATTACACAACTATTCCTTTTCCCTCCTTGATTTGTAGTAAACAAGGTGAGGAAAATCCTATATTTAGACTTATAGCTAACCTTTCCATTTTCAGGTATAGCCCTTTTCATGATTTTTGCTATGTTTGCTATTGGCAGGAAACGATCTTGCTCTCTAAGAGGGGCATTCTTTCCTCCACAGTTAGAATCAGAATTGTTTTCTTCCTCTGAAAAGTAAGCAATATTCATAAGTTTATTGATCTTAATAATTGTGTTTATAGTAGTAAAATAAAAACCAAATACTAAAGAAACTCTATCGTTCTTTAGTATCTAATAAAACAATTTCAAAATTACGTACCTAAGACATCATCGGAATTTAATACGTATGTGTCTTCATCCACCATAAATCCACTATCCAATCTAACAAGTTCGTTACCAATTTCGTCGTTTTCCATAGTTTTTCATCAAGGTAAATTTTACTTATAGGTTAGATTTTCAACTATTCGTTTTCACTTATAATACATATAGGGGCACTTTTTTAATGTTACAAATAATATAAAATTAAGGGAATTTAGTTTTAAACTATCAAACAATAATAGATAAACCTTACTTTACAGAATTTTGTTTACATACACAACGCACTGAGTTCTCTTCTTACTTGTACTTGCTCAGTGCTTCCCTCCCTTCCCTCATCAAATCAAATCAAACCAACAAAATTCAACCAATCACACACAGGATTGATTTTAGTGTTGGGAATATAAATAGTGGTGTCGATTCTGACATGATGACATTCTGTATACAGAATGAAAAAGAGAGACTGTTATTAAATTTGGTTTTAAGTTGTTAGATAATCCTGACAGATCGACTCCATTATATTTGTAGAAACGAATACTGTTTTTTGACAAATCTTGTTTTAACTCGATTGCTACTGAATGGAATGTAACTAATTATATATATATACACTTCCGGACACACCTGTCCGCCCACTTAGGGTTATAAGACTTATAAGTTTCAACAGCTTTATGGTTTCTAGGGTCTGTAGACAAATATATTAAGTAGGTTGAGCAATAATTTTAAAAACATATTAAAATATTCCAAATCCAAAAATCAGCTTCAAAACTGAGTACAAAATTTTCGCTCAATGTAAGATTTATTTTGAGCTAGGGACCATCAAAACTTAAAATGCTAGGTGGACCGATAGATGTGTCCGGAAGTGTATGTGATATGATAATACACATAGAAAAATACTTGCATGCAGAGACGAAATATATTGCAATTTGAAAGCTTATTTTATAGTTCCATGTTTATTTTTTAAGCATTTAACTGCTAGATGTTTAAATCCACTGAAATGTAGGTTTTTTAATCAGTGCATGCGCCCATCAGTGCATGGAGAAGGGTGCGGGTTCCAATCCCGTCTGCTGCCTGGTCCGCGTGGATTTTTTCTAGTAAATTTTTCTTCAGCTGGTTTTATAAAATAACATGAACAGATACTTTATTTTTTTTATTTATTTCCGATTGATTTTAAATCGTACAGTAATAAATAATTTTGTTAGTGTCTCAGGTGGCCGCGATTATAGATAAACCGCTTAATTGAGAGTTCGTCTGCGGGTTACAGGGTGTGGACGAAAACCGGGACCGTGAGAGGTGCGGGTGGCGTGCAATTGTAATTTCGACAAGAATGTGCCTGACTCCCGCACCTCTCACAGTCCCCATTTTCGGCCTCCTCCACACCCCTTACCCAGCAGACGAGAACTCAGTTAAGCGGTCTACCTATAGGGGCTCAATATCTGTGCTCAAGATACTCTCGCTCTTATAGTTATTTTATAGCAAAACTACACCTATCTGTCTTGTTATGATGCGTCTAGAGGTATCAGTTTCATACATTTAGTCGGTACGATAAAAACTACATTTGTGTGTCATGATGTGTTGTGATGGCTTCTAATGTTTCGCTTTAGAAGAAACTCTAATCGCATCAGAGGGGTAGAGGTTAGAGGGGTGAGGAAGCGGCCGTCTAACGACACATCAGGGTTAAGATTTAGAAATTTTAAAGTTCCTGACAAAAAGCCTTACATTTCGATAAAAGTTCGGACTTAAAATGTTTTATATTCTGAGATTATGATATTATGAGAAGTTAATAAAGATTAAAGGTAAATACTTATTTCATATTACTTGAAACATAAAAACTTAGCTCATAAAAGAAATCATTTTTTTTAAACGAGATTTGTACACGTGGTAAGCGAATGATATTTACCCAATACTTCCTTACAATTAAAAAGTAACGCAAATATAAACGTTTTGAGCAAGGTAACGCCTCAGGGCCAAAAGTAACGTTCTGGAAACGCTACGTCAAAAGGCATCTGACAGATGTGACTCTACGCATCACATCAGAGTCCGTCACAACACAACACGACAGATATGTATTGTTTTGCCTTTAGATATTTTTTTACAAACTTAAAATGAAGATATTTGGTAATTACTTGGTAAGAATATACATACGATCTAAGTTGTTCTAATTACTATATAGATATATATAATAATTACAAATACATCTCACCTTCACTAACATTAACCAAGAAATATTATAAATGACATAATAATTATTAATATTTTATGAATCCTGACGATCTTATAAATTCCAACTGCGATTCCTTTTATTACTTAATGGGAAATATATATTATTAACAGCTTTATGTCCCATTAGCACTTGCTTTATTTTTGAAGGGTTTTGTAGAAAGAGAGCTACACTTTAATTTCAGTTTGTAATCATATACCGGAATTTATCGATTATTAGTTTCCGTTTGATTTTAATACAAATATTAGCACAACACTAACGAACAACTGTAAATTAAAAAAGAAAGGTAGTGTTGCCGGAGTAAAAATATGTTGCCTTTCATCAAGGTAGTTGAACATTATATCAGGATTCGTCTATCCCATTGATTTGTTCGAACTATAGTGTTAAAGATTTGCGAAGTCCCATTCTGCATATTTTTTAAGAGGTGCTTATATCATTTTATTTAAAAATTCATATAATCTCAATATTTTAAATATCTCTAAAAATATTGAGATTATTATTAATGAAATGTTTATAAAAATGATATCACATTATCAAATGTTTAAAAGTGGTTTTATCCTTTTTTTTATATTAAAAAGTAAAGACTTACTACTACTAAAGGACTTAATTAGATTGTATAAAAAAGAAATTGCAATGTTGTGGAATATGATATTTATGAACAGGTAACACTGTACCCTACGTTTTAGGAAATGTAGGTTTTTGGCACATTAGTTAGTTTTCAGCAGATATTTTCCAAATAATCGGTTGATTTAACTGATGGGTCCATAAGTTGACACAAACACATTTCCATTTCAATGTAACTCTCCAACTAACTTGTGTTAAATAAAGGTTATATTACCAAGTTTGGGGACTCCGACCGATCACACGTCTGTCAATTGATTTATTTTGCAAATTACTTGCGAAAGTAATTCAGGATGGGAGTACCGAAGTTCTTTAGGTATACCAGTGAAAGGTACCCATGCCTCAATGAACTAGTAAAGCAGTATCAGGTATGTGCATGTTTTTTGAAAAGAACAAATCTTTTCACTTATTTACTTGTTAATTTGTTATCCAAGTAGTACTAAACTGATAAAGTTTTTATTGTAAAATTGCAAAAGTAGTAAAATTTGTAATAGTCAAAACACAAATAATTGGTGTACATAATTGCACAACGCTCTAGGTTTTTTTTATGCTGGAAGCAATTTTTCCTGTAACAGTACCTATTTAGTATCTTAAAATTATCAATTTTATATTATACATTTATTCATTAAATATTTTTAGTAGTAGTACATAGAGGAAGACATATCTTTAGCATACTGGCTTCCAGAAAATTTATGTGTTAGACTTACTATTATTCTGGTCTCCCTGGGAAATTTAAAAATCTCTAACTGTTATGTGTAGCACTGACGAGAGGTTATGCATATTAATTTCTTTCCATTATTTTTAGATACCTGATTTTGACAATATGTACTTGGACATGAACGGTATCATTCACAACTGTTCCCATCCAGACGACTCTGATCCCCACTTCCGTATCACAGAGGAAAAGATATTCAAAGATATCTTCCACTATATCAGCATCCTCTTCCAAATTATTAAGCCGAAGAAGCTATTCTTCATGGCTATTGATGGAGTGGCTCCCAGAGCTAAGATGAACCAGCAAAGAGGCAGGAGGTATGCAATTATTTCTTATATTTTTAAATCTATTCTCTTATAAACTTAAGTACAGATTAAAATTAAAATGTTAATAATAAAATTATAGTACACTAGTAATTAGTTATACTTTTTAGATGTACACTATAACAAAATAAATAACTGTATCAATATTAAGGCTTTGAACACAAGAGAAATTACTTATACATTCATTTTCACACCACACATGAAAGTCTATGCCATACAATTTAATTTAATAAATATTTTTACACATCAATTATTATTTATCAATTAGCTTAGCTCCAAAGTATGCATTGCGGACCTTTTAACTACGGACTAAGTATTGGGACTTTATCAATCTCTTCAAATTCAGTTAATAGAGAGAGATGATTGAGAGGTTATTTATATTGAATATCCAATTTAATCACATGTCCTGTTTAATACATGTAAAATATGAAGCTTAGTGAGTTACGCAGTCAATTATATCAATAAAATGGGTACAACCACTTAAGTGATAACAAGCGATTAAAATGTAAAACTAGACAGTTTACTTCTAAAATAATTTTGTTTAATTGTCAAGTAAACATATAATATATACAATAACTATTCTGACGGTAAAAATAACACTTAATATTTTTGCTTCTAGATTCAGATCTGCTAGAGAGGCTGAAAAATTAGAAGAAGAAGCAAAAGCTAAAGGTATTGCCACAGAATATACAAAAAACTTCTGCTCAATTTTAAAATAATAAAAATACAATAGGACATAAGTACTATCACAATAGTATATACTGTGGGAATAATCCCACAGTCAGAATATAAAACAAAAATGATTGTTATTGTTATATATCACTGGTAATGTATAGAATACCTGGGGCGTTAAGGCAGTGTATGGAATATTATAAAAATTATTTTGTATTTTATACTTTGCATAGGTAATGTAAACAATTCCTAGAGATAGTATAGTGCATCTGCTGGCCCACCAGCCATGTTTAAAGTAAACAGATTTTGCCTGTATTTATCCTAAACAAACCTAATGTGTGTGCTGTGGCTAGCCACAGTTGCATATAAAATGACAGACGGATTTTATAATTCTCACTAAATGAATTACAGACCAACCCGAACGACAAAGCGAGCGTGGCGCGGTAGCACGTCGCGTCAGCGTCAGCTACCTGATAGATAAAATATAAATTATTATAAACAAGGCTATCTGCTTTTACACACATTGCTGACTGCACATTCGGCATTATATAGAATACCTAGGCAAAGTATAAAATGAATAATATTTCATACAATGCCTTGACGTTTTTGGCGTTCTATAGATTGTCTAGGTATTGTATAGAATGCCACAATGAAGGTTTAGGGAATCATGCCAGAATCGACATCAATGTAAAACTTAGTTATCTTTAGTTCAAGTTCAGTGCGGTCGGATGAACTAGCATTACTATATCTTTATTTTAAGCATTTAATTGCTAGATTTTTAAGAAGAAAATATAAAGAAAAATGTTCTACACGCATTTATTAAAGCAGCTAGCGGAAGACTCTGGTTCAAACCCCGCCTGAATCCTAGACTGAGTGGATTTAATCTTAGTAAAAAAATATTAAAATAATCATTGTCATCTTTACAGATAGTCACAATGTTGTTTAATACAAAATGTAATACAATTTTTAGGTGAAGTGTTGCCTGCTGAAAAACGTTTTGATAGCAACTGCATTACACCTGGAACTGTTTTCATGGCTCGGCTACATGAACAACTGAGATATTTTGTAAAGGAAAAGATGTCCACAGATCCACTATGGTCGAAAGTAAAGGTCATCCTTTCAGGTCATGAGGTCAGTTACTTTGGTAGGCTATGAAAAATAAAGTACCAGTGGTTCGCATCTGTATTTAATATGCATGTTAGCAGCGGTTTTACTAATCTGAGAGAACACATAATTAATAACATGAAATAAAAATGAAGTTTTTGTTCTATGGTCACGTGACCGAACACGCCTGTGATTGGCGAAGACTAAAATGACGAGACGCGCCAGTAAACTTCCGGTTAAAGTCACATTACATTGTATCGTTTTAATGAAAGTCATGTGACGTCACATACCCGCAGTGGTATATCATATTGTCCAGACAAAAGTTTTCGCGGGTTTTTTTTACTGAAATACGCAACAGATGATGAATATCCACTTTTTTATGGACTCAATTTACATAACGAGAGATTGTTTTCTAAAACTAGTCAAATATCCTATTGTCACGTAATTGTTAAAAATTAAGTACCTACTAACTATTACACTACTTAACCCCACAAAGAATATTGTAATACGTAGAACTAGGGCTGCCATCCGTCCGGGTTTCCCCGGATTTGTCCTAGTTTACGGGGCGTCCGGGGAGCGTCCGGGCGGGGTTTTATTTGTAGTCCGGGTTTAAAAATTTACGGCAATGCATGAGTGGCCCTTGGTGCTGCAAGTGTCCATGGGCAGCACTTATTATGAGGTAGACCGCTAGCTCTTTTGCCTAGATCAACATAAAAAAGTTGATTTGTGACATTTTTAACTGTTTTTTTATTGGTCTGTCTGGGTTCTGGGCTTCAAAATCCGGGGTTATCACTCGTCTTATCCTGGTTGCCACATTTTAGAGATGGCAGCCCTACGTAGAACCTACACTTCCAGACACATCTATCGACCCATGTTAAAACTTTCAACGGTCTGTAGAAAAAATGCTATTGATATAGATTGAGCAATAATAATATTTTTTTAAACATAGGAAAAAGACTGGTAATAAATGAACTTCAAAACTCTGTTAAAAAGTTTTTGCTTAATCTTACATTTATTTTTAGTTAGGGACTGTCAAAACCATGTAGACCAAAACTTAAAATGATAGGTGGGCTGATAGATGTGCCTGGGAGAGTATATATGGATTATGGAAGCATTACTGGTTCACATAAGTTTTTCTGAAAAGGTTGAATCCAGTCTTTTAATTTGTAGTAGTTTTATGTTATCGTAACTATTACTATGCTAGCGGGTGCCCGTGTCTTTGTCTGTGTTTCCATAAGAAATTTTATTCTCCATTTTTTCCTTCAAGTTTTATTTTCACTACAAAAAGTAGACCATCTCCAGGGTCCCATTTATCAGCATGAGTTTTTCAGTGGTTGAAGTGTGAAAGCTTAACAAATAAAAAAATTCGTTACATTCATTATATTTTTGATAGGATTAGCTTACTTATCTGTTTATTTATTTAAATGCCCATGTCCAGACACCAGGCGAGGGTGAGCACAAGATAATGGATTACATTCGCTGGGCTCGCTCGCAGCCCGACTACGATCCTAACATTAGGCATTGCTTGTACGGACTGGATGCAGATCTCATCATGTTGGGCATGTGTACGCACGAGCCACACTTCGCATTGTTAAGAGAAGAGGTGAGTTTTGAACCGCTGAATTACTGAAACTACTTTTGCAATGACTAAAAAGGGAAGTTTGGCCTGACTGCAATCCTACGCAGATCTCATCATGTTGGACATGTGTACGTACGAACTACAATTTGCATTATTGAAAGGGAAGGTGAGTCCTACCACTGAATAAATGAGGGAACTTTACTTATGTTTTTTTAACAATTATATTGTTAGATGTTTAAATCTAAAAAAAAATTTTGACGGGACTCGAACCCGCACCCTCCGCTAACTACCATTATGCTACCGCGGCCCTAATTGTTCTTGTCGAAAATAACGAAACAGCAGCATTACTTTTTTAACAACTAAAATTAAAACTTGGTCTAACTGCGATCCCAACATTCGTCACTGTCGCCTGTACGGATTGGACGCAGATCTCATCATGTTGAACATGTGTACGTTTGAACTACACTTTGCATTATTAAAAAGTACGCACGAGCCACTTGCAAGTGGCTGGTCTGGTATCTCAATCTACTGCAGCGGATATCTTCGCGTCGGGACTTCACTCACACTTAATATTTGGTTAGGTTGATTTTTTTGCTTGAACTTTAAGGATTAAAAATTATCTAATCTTTTTCAGTAAGGGTCACTACACAAGCTGCATGCAACTGCATTGTATTTACTTCGATCCTAATTCCTAATCACAACTATAAATTACCAGCGGCCGCCCGCGACTTCGTACGCGTGGAGTTAGTTAGAAATAAAGGTTCACTGCTCGTTCCCCGTAGGTGATAGCGTGATAATATGTAGCCTATATGTTGACCCGACTTCTTAATAATATTCGTGCCAAATTTGACTTAAATCCATGCAGTACCTTTTGACTTTATCCTGGACACACATACAAACAAACAAACAAAAATTCTAAAAACTATATTTTTGGCTTCAGTATCGATAGTAGATCACACCCCAAGTATTGTTTTAAAAAAATATATTATGTACAGTTTTGACTTTCCTACCATTTTATTATTATGTATAGTATTTCATACTCTTTCATTATTCTGTTTTAAGGTGAAATTCGGTAAAACCACACAGCGAGCCACCAGTCCAGAGGAGACCAATTTTTACCTCTTACATCTATCACTTCTTAGGGAATACTTAGAGCAAGAGTTCATAGCTATAAAGGACAAATTGCCCTTTGAATATGACCTTGAGAAACTTGTTGATGATTGGGTGCTAATGGGCTTTTTAGTGGGTAACGATTTTATACCCCACTTGCCACATATGCATATAGGAAATGATGCTTTACCTATATTATATAATACTTATATGAAAGTATTACCTACTTTAGATGGTGAGTAAATTACAGTTTAAATAAATGAAAAAATTAAGATGTGATGAAAAATTCTGTCACATACAAGTTTGTCATTTCAATCATACTCAATTTAAAACAAAACATTTTTTTGGGTTTATTAACTTGTTTTTACTATATCGCTTTTAAATACAACATTTTAGGTTATATAAATGAAGCAGGAGACTTAAATCTAGAGAGATTTGATATATTTATGCAGGAATTAGCCAAATTAGATAAGGAGAAATTTCAAGATGTGTATGCCGATTTAAAATATTTTGAGGCTAAGACGGGTAGACGACCAAATGCGCAAGAAAGGAAAGAGGTAAGTTCCAAAATATCTTTAGCAGAAACTTTATTTAATCATAAGTGATCGTCTTAAGACAAAAAAAATACAATTTTAGTTAAAAGAAAAACTATCATTACTTCATAAATATTCTGGTTCTTTCTAGCCATGACAATACGAACATTTATTTTATGCTTTATTTTCAGTACAAACCCAACAACGATGAGACATTTAATGTCAATGTTGATGATATAAAGAATAATAAACCGGATGACGAGTTACAAGCGCTCATCAACGCCACGCAAGAAATGGTATTGCATATGATATACTTATGTGCATTTGTTTATGTATTGCTATTTTATTACTGGATATTATGTATAACGCAAACATGAAATTTGCTGCTATTTGTTGTTGTTGTTGTAATACAAAATTATTTTCTAATTTACAGTTCATGGATGATATGGATAACGAAGGGGAAGAATATGAAGAAACTAGCGACGGTAATTCCTCATTAAATTTTGTACTTTTGTATTTCATACTAATTTCGACCTTATTTTATTAGTTTTAGGGTAATCATTTGACCCATGGCATTAAAGAACGTACAATATGCTGCAGTCTTAGAATTGACATATTCTGTCGCTTATGTATATATTAATTATTGCTTTCTTTTCACAGAGGAGGCTAATATGGAATTGGAATTTTTATTACATAAAAAAGACTATTATATGAATAAGTTAGATTATTCAAAAGTCACCGAGTAAGTATTCCCCTGTTAACAACTGTATTACGTATGTTATTTTCTCTCTTTTTTAATTTTAGAGTTTTCTTACCCAGTATCTAACAAAGAATTCTTTTTAGTGAGGTGTTAGCGGACCAAGCGGAAGGGTACGTAAGGGCAATCCAATGGAATTTGTTTTATTATTACAAGGGTTGCCCTTCGTGGTGTTGGTATTATCCTCACCATTATGCGCCTTATATATCAGATATAAAGGGATTCAAAGACTTGAAGATAGAATTCGAGTTGGGTGAACCTTTCAAGCCTTTTGAACAGGTAATTCAGTATATTTACGAGAGAGACTATTTAGTCTCTCTCGTAAATAACTTATTATAACTTATTTTTATTTTAAACACATTTGTGTTTAAAATAAAAATAAGTTATTTTTTTATTCCTTCTCTAACCACCATTGTGTGTGAACATGTCCTTTAATTGATTCCGGCTCGAAGGACCATTTTTTTCATAGAATACAAAATTATAAACCTTCGCATAATCCATATCGTTCAACCTTTGATTGTATATACACCTAGACAACGTATTAACTGCATGGAACTGACCCAAAAATCACACTTATAAAGCCGAAAGTGTGTGAGTTTGTATGTTTGTTACTTCTTCACGTCTAAACGACTGAAGCGATTGCAATAAAATTGGGTATGGAGTTAGCTGACACCCTGGATTAACACATAGCCTGCGTTTTACTGCGGGAAAATATCCCTAATAAACCGTGGGTAACACCGCAGGGCACAGCTAGTATTATATATATTTTAGTATGTGTGTATTCTACTAATATATATCCCTTTGTTTATATTACATTTTTTGTCTTTATTGCACCCCTGTATTGTTTTTTTTTCACGTTCTTACTGGTCAACTTGTAGATAATGCTGTAGGCATTATGTCCGCCATTTCCCGTTATGTTTGCAATTAAGTATGAATAAATGTCTTCGCACTAAATATCTTGTTTTTCTGTTTTAAATTAACTTAATTCTGCAGCTGCTAGCGGTGTTGCCAGCCGCCAGTAAGCATTTGCTTCCAGCGCCGTTCCACGATCTGATGACTGACGAAGACTCCCCAATAGTACATTACTACCCGATTAACTTCGAGACCGACCTCAATGGGAAGAGGAATTCTTGGGAAGCTGTCGTACTTATACCATTTATTGATGAGGTAAGTTAATGATGATAATGAATATTTTCAACACACAGTTTTTTTTTTTTTTTTATTATGGTACACCAACAAAATACATACATTACATAATTTTAACAATCTTATTATTGAAAATACTTTGTATGATTTTAATAAAAGGTATACACAGTAATTCCAATTTACTTTATAACAAATGCCATCTCTTGCATTACATCCTATAAACTACAAACACAACCAGTGTGTCAGGCTAGCAAGCCTAGCCACAAAGAGAGCACTGAAATGCTTCCTGTAACAGGATACTAAGGTAACAGATAGAATACATAATATACTTATTATGCATGTATAAGTATATTTTTATCTAAAAATATATATTAGCATCATGACTTAGATACAAATTATTATACAGTATTCATTATACTAACATTTGCCCCACCGAGATTCGAACCCTTGAGATCTCTTGAGTAGGCGACACCATGAAACCGTACATACCACTCGGCCACGGAGGTTGTCATATTTTTCGAATGTCACCAATCTGACATCGGGATTAACAAGACTCTAGGTAGGTAGGTACTCTTAACCAATCTTAGCAGCAAAAGGAACATGGGAAGCTATTGTAATTATGTTTTGTCAATAAAGTAAGCAAAATGTATTTCAAGTTAGTTAACATCCTCACAGACTGTACTTTCTGATAGTGATTCTTTTGTTTAGACAAATCTTCTTTCGGCAATGACACCGTGCTACGAAAGGTTGACAGACGAGGAACTAAAGAGAAACACCCATGGTCCCATGTTAGTATACAACTGGAGTCCCGCTAATCAAGGTAATTCTTTATTTCATACAAATATTTGATGCGTCCGCCCGCGGCTTCGTCCACGTTAATTTTAGTTATTGAAAATCCCACAGGAACCTATCATTTTTCGGGATTAAAAGTGGCCTATGTCTTAATCCAGGTATTAAACTGTATCCCCTTTATTAATAAACGAAGTATAAGCTTTGATTACTTAATCTATGTTTTGTCTCTGTTCGTTGTACGACAAATGGCATTTGAGTGAAGTGAACATGTTTTGTTCACTTACACGTTCACGGCGTAATTAGTCTAAGTTTATTTCTTGTTTATTAATAAGGGGGCATGTATGCCAAATTTCATCCAAATCCGTCCAACTGTTTAGGCGTGATTTAGTAACAAACTTTCGCATTTATAATATTAGTGAAGATTGATAAAGCAACTGGTTTCGCTGTTATTAATTACTAGCAGCCGCCCGCAACTTTATCCGCGTTAATTTTAGTTATTGGAAAGGTATAGAAGAAGGGGCGAGGGTTTGAAGGAACCCTTTGAACTCACCTCACACACCGCGGAACGTGTAACTAACGTGACATGACGTGACTCGTGAAATGACATCACGTAACGTGACTCGTGACATGACGTCTCACTTTTTCGTGCGTGCAGCCGGTGTTCATCGATTAATATTTCTTTCCTAGCTATAAATTCCAACCTAAAGTACCTGACTAAAAAATAAATAGTTTTCTGTTAAATTGGTTCACGGGCGATAATTTTACGTGATAACGTGTCGTTCGCTGTTTCCGCGGGGGAGGGAAATCGCGCACACCGCGGAACGTGACACTTTTTCGTGGTAGCAGCCGGTGATCATCTCGATTTAAAGACGTTATCACGTCATTAATACTATGCCCTTCTCTTCTTAGGAACTGTAAATGCTCCCCAATACTTCCCTCCCATAACTAATTGCTACGCGATAGAGAATAAGGTGTGGCGTAATGAACTGGACGTGCCAGAAGCTAAACTAAAGAGGGGGATGTTGCCAAACGCCAAAAGGGACATGCTATTCCCCGGGTTTCCCACCATGAAGCATCTTAAATACGAGGTCAGTATTCCATAGCTGAAACTGTCCTAACAACCGATACAATTATTATTTCAGACCGATAAAGCTATAGCCACGGTTCAAGTTATCTAAAACTGAGTTTGAGCTATAAGTTGGGTATTAATTAGGCAACATTTGTACCTGGTTTTACCATTGTCGATGTTAGATTCAAATCTATTGAAAAATTGGTCATTTTGTTGTAACATGATGTGAATTTTCTTTAAGGATCATCAGAATGTTCTTAACGCTTAGAAACTGAAAAATTTAGTATTATATGGCTGGATATGACTTTTCTTATGACATTAAAATAAAGTCTATCCTGTCATTTGTGGTTTTATTATATCTTTATAACCTTTCGATATTTTGTAAAACATAAATAACACTAGATATATTATAATTATAGTATAACATTATGTATCCATTTTTCATTTCCAGGCTTGTTTAAAGAAAAACAAAGTGAAAGTATTCGATCAACCGTCTCGTAATGAGAATATGATAGTGAAAATAATAAAGGAACTCAATTTTGATGAAACTTTGGAAAGAGTTGCTAAGGATTTCCTCGGGAAAACCATATGGGTTGGATGGCCCCATCTCACTCGAGCCAAGTAAGTAGGCACTGTTAATATATTGAATCAAAGATCATAATTAAAGTTTCATACATTCCATTTTAATGTGTATTGCATGTCTTTACGCTATATATCTTTTGGTTGGTTGATAAATTATTTGAGCTGCAGCATAAAAGTTAAAAATGTATCAATGAGCGTTTTACCTATAAAACTTACCTCATTGCTGCCATGTTGGCCTTGGTTGGGTTTAAAATATAAGATTAAGACCTATTTAAAAAAAAATACAGCCTTAAGAAACCAGATAAAAAATTTGCGATGTTTATCTTATTTTTTTTAATTTATAATGATTATTTCTACACCATTTGATTATATAAATATTAACATAAATAATTTTATCTTAAATTGTTATACTATTGTAATTTTATCAAATTTTAAATTAATATTTGTATATTTTTATTATAATATGCAATACCTTTGCAGGGCTCTTGTTTGCGAGCTGTTATTAGATTTAAGAACTAAATGTAACCAACATGTAGCAATAAATATTATGATTATTTTACAGATCTTCATACAATTCAAGTGATCTTTAATTTTTTGTGAACTCAATAATTTCGTTTGCGCTAGATGATACATATTTGTTTCTTTTAGCGTGCGTTAGACAAAATCCGCCTTATTTCAAAACGCGGACTAAAATAAGTCTAGGTGTATACTTAATGTTGTTGTTTTTTTAGCAAACAAAAGTGACAGCATCAGTTTTAGTCCAGATTTAACTTTAGTCTACGTTTTGTAAGAAGGTGGAATATGTTTGGAAAATCTCCTATTTTAGAGTGATATCGGTGTCGAATGAGAAGAAGCGATTGCATTACGTGGACCAGCAGAACAACAATGTGGACGGCTGCCCCAGCTACACAACGGAGACGAACGCTGGAAATCTTCATAAACAGTGGATATCTGAAAGGGCAACTATTTTAGAACAGTAAGTTTATTTATTACATTTGATTGGCTGGTCTTAATATGTTGTCTGTTAAAATAAGTAATAACAAATTGATGGTCGGTGAGTATCCCGGCTTTCTTGGCCTCGGCCCATGGGGTTTCGGGCCTTGTAGCTAATATTCTGTCTATGAATGGCGACAAGGTGACCGTACCCTTTGCGGCCGATGCTTTGGCAGCCTGGTTAGCTCTCGTCCCGGGTGCAGCCGTGCCTAGGAACCCCGAGTTCCAGCGCTCATGGGACGACGTTAATTGTAAAGCGACACTTGAACTGCTTACTGGTGGTGCCACGGGAGTCGATCTGGCGAGGATTTTGGCGGTTTCACAGCCTGAATCCGGGGCGTGGCTGCACGCGTTACCTTCGCCTCATATGGGCACTTTACTTGACGGTGACTCTTTGCGGGTGGCGGTCGCCCTCCGCTTGGGCTGCGATGTATGTCAACCACATGTATGCATCTGCGGTACCATGGTGGGGGCTGACGGCCATCACGCATTGAGCTGCCGTCGATGTACAGGCAGACACCCACGTCACCATGCTCTAAATGACATAGTGTTGAGAGGTCTTAGGTCGGCCGGCGTTCCTTCCGTCCTCGAACCACCTGGTCTCAGCCGCACAGACGGAAAACGGCCTGATGGTCTTACATTGGTACCGTGGGAGAAGGGACGATGTTTGGTGTGGGACGCGACGTGTGTCAGCACTTTCGCCGCTACCCACATCGGCCGCACGACACGCAGGGCTGGGGCGGCGGCTGAGTATCAGGCAACGGCGAAGCGCTTAAAATATTCCTCGTTGGGGCAAGGATATATTTTCGTGCCTTTGGCGGTGGAAACGGCGGGTTGTTGGAGCGCAGAGGCCAAGCAATTTGTGTGGGACCTGGGCCGCGGACTCAGGCAAAAAACTAATGACCCTCGCTCCGGGTCGTTTCTGGCACAAAGATTGTCTATTGCCATCCAGCGTGGCAATGCTGCAAGCATAATGGGCACCTTTGCGCCAGAAACGATACGGGGTGATATTTGAATATTATTAGTATTTGTATATTATTCTTGTACATAATGTTAATTTTAGTTATTATATTATATTTTTAAGGTTTTTAGTTTTAGGTTCATTGTTACAACTTTATGCAATTAGAATGTATAATTAATAAATCAACAAATATATATATATATATAATAATTTATGTAGTTATTGAGTTAGTTGCCTAAAATATAAAAATAATTGTCACTTAAGACGGAAAAAGCTCTCACACCTGCGAGACATTATGGTCGCACTTGATATTTCTTCTTTATTAAATGAGGAGCTGGCGAACAAAACGTTATCTTGTATATAAAATTCTCGTGTCACAATGTTAGTTACCATACTCCTCCGAAACGGCTTGACCGATTTTTGTGAAATTTTATATGCATATTCAGTAGGTCTGAGAATCGGCTACTATATATTTTTCATATCCCTGAGTGATAAGGGTTGTCCACCCCTAACATATATTTGTTTTTTTAAAATACATACAACCCTGAATTTTCACACTTCAATCACCAACTCCTATTTTTAATAGTATTTATATGGCAAAACAACGTTTGCTGGGTCAGCTAGTCTTTAAAATAAAATTCTCGTGTCACAATGTTAGTTAACATACTCCTTCAAAACGGCTTGACCGATTTTTATGAAATTTTATATGCATATTCCGTGGGGTTGAGAATCGGCTACTATCTATTTTTCATATCCTTAAGTGATAATGGTTGTCCACCTGTATCGTATTGTTCTAGAACCTACAATGCGCCTTCGCGCCAAAATTCAAACTATTGGGTATTGTAACGTAGTGTTCTCATATTATGGGTTAGGAGGAATGTTATCCCAGGAAATTGATAGAACACTACGTTACACACAATTAAAATTTTTTTTGACAATTTTTTTTTATAATACGGTATTAAAAAACACATACAAACCTAAATTATCTCTTCTGCCACCTGCCCCTATTTTTATGGCGGTACGAAGTTCGCCGGGTCTGCTAGTAATTACATAAAATTATTTTTTACAAGCGCTGTCTAAAACTGAATGACATACCTACACTGAGCTTTTAGCAAGGTTTTTAATTTATAAGTAATTTTAACATTGTTTTAGGCGGTTTTGATTGAAAATTTTTGAGATTCAAATTAACGGCTCCTAAACTCCTAAGCTAAGGCTATAAAAAATGTAGTTTGACCAGATGCGTAATTATACCATTTTGTTCGCCAGCTCCACAAATAGCTTGTTTGCTGTCAATCACTCATATTCTGCCAATGTCATGCTAGCTATTCATATTTGCTTTTTGTCATTTTGACAGTAGGTTGTTCTTATCATACTCTCTATAAGGAGAGAAAAATAGGCATTAAGGCCGTATACAGAAAGAAAGCTAGAAGCCGACCAGCGCTAATAAGCGATAACTGATAACAGTTACATAAAGGAAGCAGATTGAAGCGTAGTTGTTCATTAATTTTAACGGGCGGCGCCAGCGCTGACCAGCGCGTGTCGAAGATTGTCGGAACTTGTCGGCGACTTTCGGCGCGTATCGGCGCTGGTCCATAGAAATGCCTGCGCCAGTTACCTGCGCGGACCGGTTCCTATAAGCGCTGGTAGGCTACCAGCTTTCTTTCTGTATACTGCCGAAAATATGAATAGTGATGTGATGTACCGAAAAAATTTTTTACCAATAAAAAATGAATAACAAATTAAGGGTCAGTTACTACGGCACCTTTATTAAATTTCGTCTACGTCACGTAGGTAGTTTTATCATGAAAGTCGCACTTAATGACTTCAATTAGTTCGAAGGTTTGATTATAGCCATTGCTGTCATTTTGCGACAAAAATAGAATATCACCGCACCATGACAAGCATTAAATTTATTTGCTGTTTCAAGGTTGTGAGGATCCTATAGAAAGATCGTTCAAATATATTTTTATTTACAGCAATATGAACCGGCTTGGTATTGACTTGGACGACGTAAACGTAATCATTCACGCCATTAATTTAAAAGGTAAGCTTTACTTATAGATTCTAGTATATTTATAATGTTCATTTTTCAAAATGTATGCTAAACATTTTGAATTTTCCTATTAGCTAATTGCCACAAAATTGTATTTAATAAAGTGAACCTTAAGTGCCTGCGCTGCGTTAAGCGCTACGCAGTTAAGGCCTTAAATGTTAACGTAAACATATTTTGAACAAAATCAGATTTACTTTTAAACATATAATCTTTAAAATGTGATTACAGAATTGAATCTTTAGCTAGAAATTTCCATGTAGCATATGTCAGTGACTGATATGTACAATCACTTTTCAAATGTAAAACTAAGTTTGTTATCTCAACAATTTCGGTAACTATAGATTCTATTTTAACTATGGATAAATGCTACTTCCAATTTTGTGTCATAGACAAAGAGTATGAACTGCGCGTTCTCTCACCAGCTGTTATGTAAAACTAAGCAGATAGAGATAAAGCGATAGCGTGGTCCATAGTTCGTCTATGTATTTTTTTTTTTACTCTTACTAGAGATTTTTTTTACAATTTCATGCGAGTGTCGCTCAGTTTATTCCAGACTATGTCTTTGTGCACCTTCACAAATAAATGAGTCTCATACCGGCACTCCGCTTGACTATTCGTGTTTGCTATTTGTAAACTTGACATCAGTTTCTTTTCATTTCTTATAAATCATGATAAGGACAGACTGTCGCCGTTTACAAACAGCCGATACGAATAGCGAAGTTTACTGCCGGCATCAACAAAATTGTGAGGAGCTCGATGGCGCTGGTGATTAACGCGTTCTGCGAACGTTGAAGTTAAGCAACTTTTGCAGTGTTCGGTCATTGGATGGGACCAAAAATCTTTTATCTCGAGTTCCTCCGTGTTTCGGAAGGCACGTTAAGCCGTTGGTCCCAGCTGCATCTGAAGTCTTTAGCACCCGCCAATCCGCATTGGGCCCGCATGGCAGGTCATGGCCCAATCTCCCTATTCCATCAAAAGGGAAGGCTGTGCCCCAGAAATGGGGACATTAATAGGCTGATGATGATGACGATCAACAAAATTCCTTTTATTTCCAAACCACATAGGTTACAAATACGTTATACAAGACAACACGCGAATGGTGAGCGAACCGGAATGGTGCACTATTCCTTGCGGTTACGCTCTTCACGCCGTCGTAAAGGATGTATCTGCGCACATCATTCAAGAAGCAACGAAATTTTCAACGCCTCAAGAAGCTTATCCGATTGGGGACAAAGTGTTTTTACTAACGCAAGGACAATACTATGGCTGTCTAGCTTCGGTGAGTGGTTTTCATGGATGATTTTGATGTTCTTTATTTACAGAAAGCGACGAAATTCTCAACGCCTCACTTTTACATGGGAGCTTTATATTGGTTTCTTGATTTCACTGGTAAAGGTTTTCAATGACTGCTTAGGTAGTTTCTTTTAATTCTGGCGGTGTCAATAAATCTTCGTTATCTGTAAGTAAAATACGCCGTATCGAGTACATAGGATAACAAATTAAAATAAAATGAGTAGCGTTCCTTTTACTTTTTTTTCTTTTTTCAAAATCATTTCACAGTGCGAACACTATAAAAGTAGAAAAAAATGTATTGCAAAGTCTGCAAAATAATACTGACCACATTTCGGAACATAAAAAAAAATAAAACAACATGTTAACAATGAATTTCCATACATTTTTCCAGCCCGCTTAGTAGTACAACAGTAATAAGGTCCGTTCTGCTTCATTTTTAAAACTAAAATAAAGCACTTTCCTAGCAGGTGTAGTATAAAGTGTGTTTACTAACTCAAGGACTAATACGGTAGTCTTGCTTCGGTATCTTATTATACGTCGGGGCACATCTATCTTATAACATCTTTAATAAGATCATCGTTGCGAACTTCGGTCAAAGAAACCACACTTAAGTTGAGGGAGACATTGGTGTCGATTCCGGCATGATTCTCTTAACTTAAGACTAAATTTAAGATCAGTCTGTCCTTTTCATTCTGTATAGAGAATGACAAAGATGAACTGTTGCCAATTTAAGTTTAGGTTTTGAGAATCATGCCAGAATCGACACCATTGTAGTTCATTTTATATTCATGGATGTCAGCAAAACAAAAAAATTGGCCAAACAATCACACTAACAACAAATTTAAAAAAATTGTTGTTTGTTTGGTTGAACGCACTAATCTCAGGAAGTATTGGCCCAATTTCAAAAAACTTTTTGGATTAGAACATGTATCGAGGAAGGCTATATACATATAATAAAGCTACGACTAAAAGGAGCAGAGCACCAATGAAAAATGCTGCAAAAACAGGAAAAAATATTCCATTAGAGCTTCCAATGCGTGCGCTGCGTAAACGGTAAAAGTTACACTAAAATTATGTATGACGGAATTGTTCCCCTTTATAAGTTCTATAAAGAAGTCCGCGACAGCATATGTCTATCTTTTAAGGTGGTTTTACCTTTATCCTCAAAGTCGGTGAAACCGCAGGGGATCTCTAGTTGTGACATGACTGTAATAGTTGGACATGTTATCATGGACTTTTTGTAGATATTGATGTCCTCTGAAAGACTTTAATACATCACTTTGCTTCATTGTCAATGACTTCCGCAGCGTACGCGATATAAAGTTTTTTTTTCACACGTTGGATTTCATTATATAAGCTTTCATACGGTACCCTAACTTTTTTGAAAATACTCTCTACAGCCTATGTTCATCCGGGATAATATAGGATTCTAAAGGTGCAAGATTCTTTTAATACAAACAATCAAATCTCTCTTTTTCTATAATATTAGTATAGATGTATATGTGCGTGGTCAGGTGGTGGAATCGGAGACGGTCCGCAGCGGGCGCATCAAAGTGGCGGTGTGTGAAAGGCCCGAGCCCGCGCCCGCAGTACACGCCGCTGCCTGCCCCTACCGCAGCGCCAACCACGCCGCCGCCCTCTGCGGTCAGTATGCACACACTACACACACACGCGTGCCTGCCCCTACCGCAGCGCCAACCACGCCGCCGCCCTCTGCGGTCAGTATGCACACACTACACACACACACGTGCCTGCCCCTACCGCAGCGCCAACCACGCCGCCGCCCTATGCGGTCAGTATGCACACACTACACACACACGCGTGCCTGCCCCTGCCGCAGCGCCAACCACGCCGCCGCCCTCTGCGGTCAGTATGCACACACTACACACACACACGCGTGCCTGCCCCTGCCGCAGCGCCAACCACGCCGCCGCATTCTGCGGTTAGTATGCACACACTACACACACACGCGTGCCTGCCCCTACCGCAGCGCCAACCACGCCGCCGCCCTCTGCGGTCAGTATGCACACATTACACACACACACGCGTGCCTGCCCCTGCCGCAGCGCCAACCACGCCGCCGCCCTCTGCGGTCAGTATGCACACACTACACACACACGCGTGCCTGCCCCTGCCGCAGCGCCAACCACGCCGCCGCCCTCTGCGGTCAGTATGCACACACTACATACACACGCGTGCCTGCCCCTGCCGCAGCGCCAACCACGCCGCCGCCCTCTGCGGTCAGTATGCACACACTACACACACACGCGTGCCTGCCCCTGCCGCAGCGCCAACCACGCCGCCGCATTCTGCGGTCAGTATGCACACACTACACACACACGCGTGCCTGCCCCTACCGCAGCGCCAACTACGCCGCCGCCCTCTGCGGTCAGTATGCACACATTACACACACACACGCGTGCCTGCCCCTGCCGCAGCGCCAACCACGCCGCCGCCCTCTGCGGTCAGTATGCACACACTACACACACACGCGTGCCTGCCCCTACCGCAGCGCCAACCACGCCGCCGCCCTCTGCGGTCAGTATACACACACTACACACACACGCGTGCCTGCCCCTACCGCAGCGCCAACCACGCCGCCGCCCTCTGCGGTCAGTATGCACACACTACACACACACACGTGCCTGCCCCTACCGCAGCGCCAACCACGCCGCCGCCCTATGCGGTCAGTATGCACACACTACACACACACGCGTGCCTGCCCCTGCCGCAGCGCCAACCACGCCGCCGCCCTCTGCGGTCAGTATGCACACACTACACACACACACGCGTGCCTGCCCCTGCCGCAGCGCCAACCACGCCGCCGCATTCTGCGGTTAGTATGCACACACTACACACACACGCGTGCCTGCCCCTACCGCAGCGCCAACCACGCCGCCGCCCTCTGCGGTCAGTATGCACACATTACACACACACACGCGTGCCTGCCCCTGCCGCAGCGCCAACCACGCCGCCGCCCTCTGCGGTCAGTATGCACACACTACACACACACGCGTGCCTGCCCCTGCCGCAGCGCCAACCACGCCGCCGCCCTCTGCGGTCAGTATGCACACACTACATACACACGCGTGCCTGCCCCTGCCGCAGCGCCAACCACGCCGCCGCCCTCTGCGGTCAGTATGCACACACTACACACACACGCGTGCCTGCCCCTGCCGCAGCGCCAACCACGCCGCCGCATTCTGCGGTCAGTATGCACACACTACACACACACGCGTGCCTGCCCCTACCGCAGCGCCAACTACGCCGCCGCCCTCTGCGGTCAGTATGCACACATTACACACACACACGCGTGCCTGCCCCTGCCGCAGCGCCAACCACGCCGCCGCCCTCTGCGGTCAGTATGCACACACTACACACACACACGTGCCTGCCCCTACCGCAGCGCCAACCACGCCGCCACCCTCTGCGGTCAGTATGCACACACTACACACACACGCGTGCCTGCCCCTGCCGCAGCGCCAACCACGCCGCCGCATTCTGCGGTCAGTATGCACACACTACACACACACGCGTGCCTGCCCCTACCGCAGCGCCAACTACGCCGCCGCCCTCTGCGGTCAGTATGCACACATTACACACACACACGCGTGCCTGCCCCTGCCGCAGTGCCAACCACGCCGCCGCCCTCTGCGGTCAGTATACACACACTACACACACACGCGTGCCTGCCCCTACCGCAGCGCCAACCACGCCGCCACCCTCTGCGGTCAGTATGCACACACTACACACACACGCGTGCCTGCCCCTGCCGCAGCGCCAACCACGCCGCCGCATTCTGCGGTCAGTATGCACACACTACACACACACGCGTGCCTGCCCCTACCGCAGCGCCAACTACGCCGCCGCCCTCTGCGGTCAGTATGCACACATTACACACACACACGCGTGCCTGCCCCTGCCGCAGTGCCAACCACGCCGCCGCCCTCTGCGGTCAGTATACACACACTACACACACACGCGTGCCTGCCCCTACCGCAGCGCCAACCACGCCGCCGCCCTCTACGGTCAGTATGCACACACTACACACACACGCGTGCCTGCCCCTACCGCAGCGCCAACTACGCCGCCGCCCTCTGCGGTCAGTATGCACACATTACACACACACACGCGTGCCTGCCCCTGCCGCAGCGCCAACCACGCCGCCGCCCTCTGCGGTCAGTATGCACACACTACACACACACACGTGCCTGCCCCTACCGCAGCGCCAACCACGCCGCCGCCCTCTGCGGTCAGTATGCACACATTACACACACACACGCGTGCCTGCCCCTGCCGCAGCGCCAACCACGCCGCCGCCCTCTGCGGTCAGTATGCACACACTACACACACACGCGTGCCTGCCCCTGCCGCAGCGCCAACCACGCCGCCGCCCTCTGCGGTCAGTATGCACACACTACATACACACGCGTGCCTGCCCCTGCCGCAGCGCCAACCACGCCGCCGCCCTCTGCGGTCAGTATGCACACACTACACACACACGCGTGCCTGCCCCTGCCGCAGCGCCAACCACGCCGCCGCCCTCTGCGGTCAGTATGCACACACTACACACACACGCGTGCCTGCCCCTACCGCAGCGCCAACCACGCCGCCGCCCTCTGCGGTCAGTATGCACACATTACACACACACACGCGTGCCTGCCCCTGCCGCAGCGCCAACCACGCCGCCGCCCTCTGCGGTCAGTATGCACACACTACACACACACGCGTGCCTGCCCCTGCCGCAGCGCCAACCACGCCGCCGCCCTCTGCGGTCAGTATGCACACACTACATACACACGCGTGCCTGCCCCTGCCGCAGCGCCAACCACGCCGCCGCCCTCTGCGGTCAGTATGCACACACTACACACACACGCGTGCCTGCCCCTGCCGCAGCGCCAACCACGCCGCCGCATTCTGCGGTCAGTATGCACACACTACACACACACGCGTGCCTGCCCCTACCGCAGCGCCAACTACGCCGCCGCCCTCTGCGGTCAGTATGCACACATTACACACACACACGCGTGCCTGCCCCTGCCGCAGCGCCAACCACGCCGCCGCCCTCTGCGGTCAGTATGCACACACTACACACACACACGTGCCTGCCCCTACCGCAGCGCCAACCACGCCGCCACCCTCTGCGGTCAGTATGCACACACTACACACACACGCGTGCCTGCCCCTGCCGCAGCGCCAACCACGCCGCCGCATTCTGCGGTCAGTATGCACACACTACACACACACGCGTGCCTGCCCCTACCGCAGCGCCAACTACGCCGCCGCCCTCTGCGGTCAGTATGCACACATTACACACACACACGCGTGCCTGCCCCTGCCGCAGCGCCAACCACGCCGCCGCCCTCTGCGGTCAGTATGCACACACTACACACACACGCGTGCCTGCCCCTACCGCAGCGCCAACCACGCCGCCGCCCTCTGCGGTCAGTATACACACACTACACACACACGCGTGCCTGCCCCTACCGCAGCGCCAACCACGCCGCCGCCCTCTGCGGTCAGTATGCACACACTACACACACACACGTGCCTGCCCCTACCGCAGCGCCAACCACGCCGCCGCCCTATGCGGTCAGTATGCACACACTACACACACACGCGTGCCTGCCCCTGCCGCAGCGCCAACCACGCCGCCGCCCTCTGCGGTCAGTATGCACACACTACACACACACACGCGTGCCTGCCCCTGCCGCAGCGCCAACCACGCCGCCGCATTCTGCGGTTAGTATGCACACACTACACACACACGCGTGCCTGCCCCTACCGCAGCGCCAACCACGCCGCCGCCCTCTGCGGTCAGTATGCACACATTACACACACACACGCGTGCCTGCCCCTGCCGCAGCGCCAACCACGCCGCCGCCCTCTGCGGTCAGTATGCACACACTACACACACACGCGTGCCTGCCCCTGCCGCAGCGCCAACCACGCCGCCGCCCTCTGCGGTCAGTATGCACACACTACATACACACGCGTGCCTGCCCCTGCCGCAGCGCCAACCACGCCGCCGCCCTCTGCGGTCAGTATGCACACACTACACACACACGCGTGCCTGCCCCTGCCGCAGCGCCAACCACGCCGCCGCATTCTGCGGTCAGTATGCACACACTACACACACACGCGTGCCTGCCCCTACCGCAGCGCCAACTACGCCGCCGCCCTCTGCGGTCAGTATGCACACATTACACACACACACGCGTGCCTGCCCCTGCCGCAGCGCCAACCACGCCGCCGCCCTCTGCGGTCAGTATGCACACACTACACACACACACGTGCCTGCCCCTACCGCAGCGCCAACCACGCCGCCACCCTCTGCGGTCAGTATGCACACACTACACACACACGCGTGCCTGCCCCTGCCGCAGCGCCAACCACGCCGCCGCATTCTGCGGTCAGTATGCACACACTACACACACACGCGTGCCTGCCCCTACCGCAGCGCCAACTACGCCGCCGCCCTCTGCGGTCAGTATGCACACATTACACACACACACGCGTGCCTGCCCCTGCCGCAGTGCCAACCACGCCGCCGCCCTCTGCGGTCAGTATACACACACTACACACACACGCGTGCCTGCCCCTACCGCAGCGCCAACCACGCCGCCACCCTCTGCGGTCAGTATGCACACACTACACACACACGCGTGCCTGCCCCTGCCGCAGCGCCAACCACGCCGCCGCATTCTGCGGTCAGTATGCACACACTACACACACACGCGTGCCTGCCCCTACCGCAGCGCCAACTACGCCGCCGCCCTCTGCGGTCAGTATGCACACATTACACACACACACGCGTGCCTGCCCCTGCCGCAGTGCCAACCACGCCGCCGCCCTCTGCGGTCAGTATACACACACTACACACACACGCGTGCCTGCCCCTACCGCAGCGCCAACCACGCCGCCGCCCTCTACGGTCAGTATGCACACACTACACACACACGCGTGCCTGCCCCTACCGCAGCGCCAACTACGCCGCCGCCCTCTGCGGTCAGTATGCACACATTACACACACACACGCGTGCCTGCCCCTGCCGCAGCGCCAACCACGCCGCCGCCCTCTGCGGTCAGTATGCACACACTACACACACACACGTGCCTGCCCCTACCGCAGCGCCAACCACGCCGCCGCCCTCTGCGGTCAGTATGCACACATTACACACACACACGCGTGCCTGCCCCTGCCGCAGCGCCAACCACGCCGCCGCCCTCTGCGGTCAGTATGCACACACTACACACACACGCGTGCCTGCCCCTGCCGCAGCGCCAACCACGCCGCCGCCCTCTGCGGTCAGTATGCACACACTACATACACACGCGTGCCTGCCCCTGCCGCAGCGCCAACCACGCCGCCGCCCTCTGCGGTCAGTATGCACACACTACACACACACGCGTGCCTGCCCCTACCGCAGCGCCAACTACGCCGCCGCCCTCTGCGGTCAGTATGCACACATTACACACACACACGCGTGCCTGCCCCTGCCGCAGCGCCAACCACGCCGCCGCCCTCTGCGGTCAGTATGCACACACTACACACACACGCGTGCCTGCCCCTACCGCAGCGCCAACCACGCCGCCGCCCTCTGCGGTCAGTATGCACACACTACACACACACGCGTGCCTGCCCCTACCGCAGCGCCAACCACGCCGCCGCCCTCTGCGGTCAGTATACACACACTACACACACACGCGTGCCTGCCCCTACCGCAGCGCCAACCACGCCGCCGCCCTCTGCGGTCAGTATGCACACACTACACACACACACGTGCCTGCCCCTACCGCAGCGCCAACCACGCCGCCGCCCTATGCGGTCAGTATGCACACACTACACACACACGCGTGCCTGCCCCTGCCGCAGCGCCAACCACGCCGCCGCCCTCTGCGGTCAGTATGCACACACTACACACACACACGCGTGCCTGCCCCTGCCGCAGCGCCAACCACGCCGCCGCATTCTGCGGTTAGTATGCACACACTACACACACACGCGTGCCTGCCCCTACCGCAGCGCCAACCACGCCGCCGCCCTCTGCGGTCAGTATGCACACATTACACACACACACGCGTGCCTGCCCCTGCCGCAGCGCCAACCACGCCGCCGCCCTCTGCGGTCAGTATGCACACACTACACACACACGCGTGCCTGCCCCTGCCGCAGCGCCAACCACGCCGCCGCCCTCTGCGGTCAGTATGCACACACTACATACACACGCGTGCCTGCCCCTGCCGCAGCGCCAACCACGCCGCCGCCCTCTGCGGTCAGTATGCACACACTACATACACACGCGTGCCTGCCCCTGCCGCAGCGCCAACCACGCCGCCGCCCTCTGCGGTCAGTATGCACACACTACACACACACGCGTGCCTGCCCCTGCCGCAGCGCCAACCACGCCGCCGCATTCTGCGGTCAGTATGCACACACTACACACACACGCGTGCCTGCCCCTACCGCAGCGCCAACTACGCCGCCGCCCTCTGCGGTCAGTATGCACACATTACACACACACACGCGTGCCTGCCCCTGCCGCAGCGCCAACCACGCCGCCGCCCTCTGCGGTCAGTATGCACACACTACACACACACGCGTGCCTGCCCCTACCGCAGCGCCAACTACGCCGCCACCCTCTGCGGTGAGTATGCACACACTACACACACACGCGTGCCTGCCCCTGCCGCAGCGCCAACTACGCCGCCACCCTCTGCGGTGAGTATGCACACACTACACACACACGCGTGCCTGCCCCTACCGCAGCGCCAACCACGCCGCCGCCCTCTGCGGTCAGTATGCACACACTACACACACACGCGTGCCTGCCCCTACCGCAGCGCCAACCACGCCGCCGCCCTCTACGGTCAGTATGCACACACTACACACACACGCGTGCCTGCCCCTACCGCAGCGCCAACCACGCCGCCGCCCTCTGCGGTCAGTATGCACACACTACACACAAGCGTGCCTGCCCCTACCGCAGCGCCAACCACGCCGCCGCCCTCTACGGTCAGTATACACACAGTACACACACACGCGTGCCTGCCCCTGCCGCAGCGCCAACCACGCCGCCGCCCTTTGCGGTCAGTATACACACACTACACACACACGCGTGCCTGCCCCTACCGCAGCGCCAACCACGCCGCCGCATTCTGCGGTCAGTATGCACACACTACACACACACGCGTGCCTGCCCCTACCGCAGCGCCAACTACGCCGCCGCCCTCTGCGGTCAGTATGCACACATTACACACACACACGCGTGCCTGCCCCTGCCGCAGTGCCAACCACGCCGCCGCCCTCTGCGGTCAGTATGCACACACTACACACACACGCGTGCCTGCCCCTACCGCAGCGCCAACCACGCCGCCGCCCTCTGCGGTCAGTATGCACACACTACACACAAGCGTGCCTGCCCCTACCGCAGCGCCAACCACGCCGCCGCCCTCTGCGGTCAGTATACACACAGTACACACACACGCGTGCCTGCCCCTGCCGCAGCGCCAACCACGCCGCCGCCCTTTGCGGTCAGTATACACACACTACACACACACGCGTGCCTGCCCCTACCGCAGCGCCAACCACGCCGCCGCATTCTGCGGTCAGTATGCACACACTACACACACACGCGTGCCTGCCCCTACCGCAGCGCCAACTACGCCGCCGCCCTCTGCGGTCAGTATGCACACATTACACACACACACGCGTGCCTGCCCCTGCCGCAGTGCCAACCACGCCGCCGCCCTCTGCGGTCAGTATACACACACTACACACACACGCGTGCCTGCCCCTGCCGCAGCGCCAACCACGCCGCCGCCCTCTGCGGTCAGTATGCACACACTACACACACACGCGTGCCTGCCCCTACCGCAGCGCCAACCACGCCGCCGCCCTCTACGGTCAGTATGCACACACTACACACACACGCGTGCCTGCCCCTGCCGCAGCGCCAACCACGCCGCCGCCCTCTGCGGTCAGTATGCACACACTACACACACACGCGTGCCTGCCCCTACCGCAGCGCCAACCACGCCGCCGCCCTCTGCGGTCAGTATACACACACTACACACACACGCGTGCCTGCCCCTACCGCAGCGCCAACCACGCCGCCGCCCTCTGCGGTCAGTATGCACACACTACACACACATGCGTGCCTGCCCCTGCCGCAGCGCCAACCACGCCGCCGCCCTCTGCGGTCAGTATGCACACACTACACACACATGCGTGCCTGCCCCTGCCGCAGCGCCAACCACGCCGCCGCCCTCTGCGGTCAGTATGCACACACTACACACACATGCGTGCCTGCCCCTGCCGCAGCGCCAACCACGCCGCCGCCCTCTGCGGTCAGTATGCACACACTACACACACATGCGTGCCTGCCCCTGCCGCAGCGCCAACCACGCCGCCGCCCTCTGCGGTCAGTATGCACACACTACACACAAGCGTGCCTGCTCCTACCGCAGCGCCAACCACGCCGCCGCTCTCTGCGGTCAGTATACACACAGTACACACACACGCGTGCCTGCCCCTGCCGCAGCGCCAACCACGCCGCCGCCCTTTGCGGTCAGTATACACACACTACACACACACGCGTGCCTGCCCCTACCGCAGCGCCAACCACGCCGCTGCCCTCTGCGGTCAGTATACACACACTTCACTACACACACTAAACTACACACACACTACACTACACACACACTACACTACACACACACGCGTGCCTAACGCTTTGTTTATCAACCACAAAATTACAAAGATTTTTTCGTTTCGGCGTCATCACCCCTATTTTAATGCTATAACATGATATAAATTTTATAATAGGCGTATCGGCGCAAATGTTATCCCGCATCACTGGCTCGGTACTCGTGGTGACAGGTCAACGAAACGACCTGCCAACAGAGACCATGAGCAAAACCAACGTGGGACTCAACCTCAAGTTTAATAAAAAGGTTTGTAATTCATTCGAATATTACACAGTATGATTTGAATGAAATCAAATGCATTTTTAACTTATTCCAAAGTAGGTATAAAGGTTTTAGTTTTTCTAAGTCCTTATTGTTTAAGAACCGAGGTGTACAACACATGAACAATGCTACTGATTGTGGCATGTTTCTCAAAAATTAAATTTGACATTAGTTTTAAGTTTAGAGAAGCATGCCAGAATCAACACCAATTTATATCTACCCATACTAAACTGATTAGGTAGTCATTAATCATCATTAATAGTCATCCTATATACAAGAGAAAAAAAGCGATACAACGGATGGGCATGTTATTGGAAGTTTTTTTTTACTGTCCTAAGATATTTTTAAGGTTGAAAAAGCCTAGCGATTGGAAAATGCTGTGTCGTTCACTTATAGATTCCTCACTAATTTAGATTTAATTCTCCGTCAGAATCAAGAAGTGTCAGGGTACACGCGTCGCTGCAAGATGACCAACTCGTGGCTATATTCGGAGCGGTGTATCGAACTAGTGAAGTCTTATTCGAGTCAGTTTCCGGAGCTCTTCGATACTCTAGCGCAGAATCTCAACAATGATGTTTTCTTCGAAAGCGATCTTTGGCCGAATGAAGTTGGGTGAGTTAATTTTAGTATTATCCTTGCTTAGCGTATCGCCCCGGTTTAGCGTGGATGTAATTCACTTACGATAAAAATTATGAATGAAATGAAATTACAAAAAGTAATTTATTTAATTATCATATTAATTATTGCTAGAATTAACTACCTACTCTACTAGATTTATAAATCTAAAATTCTTTAAATTCAAATTCAAACTCATTTATGCAGTCAAGGCTCTTGTGAAATTCAAACGCTACACCATCGGTTCATAAATCTACGGCGGGAGACCACAAAACCATAAGACAGTACTGAAAAGAAGTGACAAGAAATTTAGCAAGTGCTATTTTTTTTTCTCCGTTTTTTTTTTCATACAGTGTCGTCAAATAAAAGATGATAATTATGAAACCTGTTTTTTTTTCATCACATTAGTATTATTAGTTAACAATACGATAAAGCTTCGATTTTTAAATTTAGAAGTGTCAATTAAACAATTTTTTACTAAATTATCAAAGTAAAAAGTACTTAGTCTATTTTATTTTATTCTTTATTAAGTCATACACCTTAAAGGTTAAGCCGGCTACTTAGTCTATAATAAGCAAATTATATTTAAAAAGAACTGTTATCCAAATCTGCAAATTTTCAATATTGAATTTCACTCACTATAATCGATCAATAAAAATGGGTTTGAAATAAAATTCAAGTCACAGCTTTTCCTGTTAGTTAAAGCTTAGATTCCTTATGTACTTAGTCTTTCTTTCAAGGATCCGATCATTTTCAGTTTTGTTCATACTAAGTTTAATTTTTGCTCATACATGAGTCACCTAGTTAAGCCTATTTCGCTACTCCCAACTGCTACCTCAAAGAGCTTTTTCTCTCCACAGACAAAAGAAAGCTACCGAAGTGTCAGGTTGGTTGAAGAATCAACCACATTCTAACGCCGCACGTCGCGAATGTGGCTCTGATGCCCTCGAACCAGAAGAGATGAAAGCTCTCTGGTCGACGTTAGAAACTCAACTGCAGACCTTGAAAGATAAGGAAAAGAAAGTAACGCTGCATGTTAAATGGAACCTTCTCTACAAGGTAATATGGTACTTTGTCAATTTAGCCCGAAAAGATGAAATCTTTCTAGTCTACGCTAGGAACTCTAGTTTACTGCTAGTTTAATTTTGAGACACTTTTCTCGCAAAAAATCATTCCAATGTTTTAATTACCAACTTCTAACTGTCACTGTGTTTAGATGAGCACTGAATGAGGGCTACCGTTTTCTGTCTCACCAGATGGCGCCACTGTTGAGTGAGATCCTAAATTGTAACTTTTAAAGTAAGTTTATTAATACGCACATGAAATCAAAGGTTACAGTTAGATCGAATTTTAACACAAAAGAACATTATCCTAAACATAATAGGCCATGCCACAGTGACGCCCAGTTCCGTTTTATTCGGAAAAAATGGGAACATAATCATTTTTCTAAGCTCAAATTTTTAATAACTGACATTCATTGCCAATGTACTCATATTTGCCATAATTAAGCCGAATTGTTACCAATTATTCACAACATTATTTTAATAAGAAATAAACTCGCGTAGTCAACCAACAAGCAATAACATTTGACATTTCGGAGACCTCACGCTACACTAGCGCCTCTAGCGGCGGATTCATACGCGATAGCCCTCATTGAGTGAACTCACTCTTTCGCGCATTTACAGATGTTTGTGGCGCGAATTAATCGAATGAGCATTTAAATTGATCCATAGACTATGCCCTTAGATTTGTTTTATTAATAACAAATGGAGAATAAGTAAATAACATTCACAAAACACCGTGATTTTGTAGATTTTTTTAAAAGTTTTATGAATGAAAAATGTTGCCATGGAATTATTTGATCTTGAACTATTTGTGTTCTTTATTAAAGCATTGAAAGCATTGTTTTATCTTTATAACACAGAATATAAGCAATATTGTTATATTGAATGCACATGCAGCGTGTTTGAACTATGCCACTATACGTGATTAGACGTATCAGTAGACATTTCGTTGCAGTGCTGCCACCTGGCGCCCGTCATTCCTAAAAACCCTTGGGCTTTTGGGGTGAGGATAATTTGCTCACTTTCTCGACCCTTAATATGTTAATACAAATGAAGTAATCCTTGATCTGTTTCGGTGAACAGCCAGAATTACACGAAGGAAACATCTCCCCCGATCCGCGGGCAGACTTCAAGATGTACGACCGCATCGTATGCGTGTCTCGCTCTATCACGGTGCCTTTGGCAGCCACTGGCACCGTGACCGCAGTTTATTTACCGCCACCGCCTAATACTGTTCGTCTGTCCGACCGCCTCAACGTCGAGCCCTCCTACCAGGTAAGGGAAAATTCTATCTTCTTCTATATCGTTAAATAAATCGTCGAAAGATATGTATATCACTTCCGAACGATTGAACCAAATTGGATATGGTTCCGCACGTAGTCCTTAAGTGGACCATTGTACGTGAGCTATAGCGGCCGATTACTCCAACCCTAAATTGGATAATCTTTTTTTACTGTGTTCGTTATTGTCAGGACAAGATTTGTAGAAAAAAAAGATAACATGATTATTATAAAATAACTTTTAATGAAAAGTAAATGTGTTTACTTACGGCCACCGTTTAATACTGTTCGTCTGTCCAACCACCGCAACGTTGAGTCCTCCTACCAGGTGTGTGTCTCTCGTTAATAATGTGCTGTCTCGCTCTATCACGGTGTTTACTTACGGTCACCGCCTAATACTGTTGGTCTGTCCGACCGCCTCAACGTCCAGCCTTCCTACCAGGTGTGTCTCTCTCTAATAATGTGCTGTCTCGCTCTATCACGATGTTTATTTACGGTCACCGCCTAATACTGTTCGTCTGCCCCCTAATACTGTGCGTCTGTCCGACCGCCTCAACTTCGAGCCCTCCTACCAGGTGTCTGTCTCTCTCTAATAATGTACTGTCTCGCTCTATCACGGTTTTTCTTACGGCCACCCCCTAATACTGTGCGTCTGTCCGACCGCCTCAACGTCCAGCCTTCCTACCAGGTGTGTGTCTCTCTCTAATAATGAATGAATAACTTTATTGTACACCATGAGATTGTAAATTACAATTAAATAAGACTATAACATTATAGTACAAACGGCGGCCTTATCGCTAAGAAGCAATTTCTTCCAGGCAACCGTATGTTAACTGGACTGTTACATAAAGAGTGGGAAGTAGATGGTGTCATTTAAAGTAAAACTACCATTAATAATACTTATAAATAATTATGTACAACAAAAACTAAAATAAAATACAAATACATAAACATAATATATCCATATATAAACACAATAACAATTTAATCATACTTTGGATGATGTGATGACTAGCTAAAGTGTCAGGTAATGTTCCTTTAACATTTTTTTAAAACAAGGTAATGTTTTAGCACCTCTAATTGTTTCCGGCAAGGCATTCCACAAACGAGCAGCCTGAATTACAAATGGCTTGTCCATAAATTTCGTGGAGTGCATTTGAATCTCGAGTGTTAAATTCTCTGACGATCACAAAACACGAGCATGTGTATCATGCAGGAAATTAAAACTAACTAACTAATAATGTGCCTAATACTGTTCGTCAGTCCGACCGCCTCAACGTCGAGCCCCCCTACCAGATGTGTGTCTCGCTCTATCACGGTGTTTATTTATGGTCACCGCCTAATACTGTTCGTCTGTCCGACCTCCTTAACGTCGAGCCCTCCTACCACCTGGTAGGAACGTCCAGCCTTCTACCAGGTGTGTGTCTCTCTCTAATAATGTGCTGTCTTGCTTTATCACGGTGTTTATCTACGACCACCGCCTAATACTGTTCGTCTGTCCGACCGCCTCAACGTCGAGCCCTCCTACCGGGTTTGTCTGTCTCTCTAACATTGTGCTGTCTCGCTCCATCACGGTGCCTCTGGCCGCAATTGCTACTTAAAAATCATGAAATGGAAAACTATTTTTGATCTATTGTCATGTGACCGAAAACGCCTAAGATTAGTGGAGCCTCAAATGACGTCACCTGTATGTAAATATGATGTAGGTTGATGTTACATTACGTTGTACTGTTAGACGTTTTGTTGAGAGCCGTGTGATATCACCTGCCTGTACATGGAGCACGCTGTGCCTGTAATACGCCATATTTTCTAGAGAAAAGTTTTCGCGGTATATTTGAAAACAGAATTTGTATTCTCGTTTTTTATAGTGATATACGCAACAGATTTATAAACACTAAACGTAATTAATTAGTTTTCAAGAATCTGTTAAATAGCCATAATTTCTTAACACCACTTGCGATACATCTGATGAATCTTCAAAAAATTAATTTGTTAATAAAACAAAAAATATCATATATTCCATTAATTTTAATTTACAATAATTATTTCCTCTAGGTTATGTTTGACGAGCCGTTCCCTGGAGCTATGACGGAAGATTTGTTCGATGAGCCAAGATTCTACAGGTAACAAGGTTTAAACATTAAAAAAGGGTTTTTTAAATACCTTAAATGTATGACATCTATTTTGAATAAAAAGGCCCACTAATACAAGCCTGTGCTTATTTTAGCAGGTTTTTTACCTTTGGTGCTAGTTCGAAATTAAACTGCTGGACTTGTTGAGAGTATGTATTGTAATGACAAATATGATATATTCTTGATGATAAAAAAATACTATAAATTTAAATAATATGATGGCGTCGTGTGTTCGTCCCGGCGCTGCATGGTAGAATGTTCGAGAGGACGAACGAACGTCTAGCGACTTGTTTGTAGAATGTATGGAATGAGTAGAGATTCGTCAACAACCTTTTTACCGCAACATACTTATTAAATGCAATACTAATAATACTTTTATAGTTAACAAGTCATTAGCTATTTTTTATAAACTTGAGATAAAATAACAATTTTTTATTGCTTGATTGATAAATATCAATCTATACCATAGAGCAGGTTTAAAATGCGTTTTTTAACCTTTAAAACTTTTATCCATATCCATGCTTTAAAACCTCTATTGAAGATTCTGAACCAGTTAACCAAGATTAAAACATCCAATGTCATCTTATATATAAAATTCTCGTGTCACAATGTTAGTAACCATACTCCTCCGAAACGGTCTGACCGATTTTTATAGATTTTTTTATGCATATTCCGTGGGTCTGAGAATCGGCTACTATCTATTTTTCATATCCTTAAGTGATAATGGTTGTCCACCTGTAACGTAGTGTTCTGAACCCTACAATGCGCCTTCGTGCCAAAATTTAAACTATTGGGTATTGTAACGTAGTGATCTCATATGGGTTAGGAGGAATGATTTCCCAGGAAATTGATAGAACACTACGTTACACACCCCCAAATTTTATTTACACAATATTTAATTTTTTATAATGTGGTATTAAAAATACATACAACCCTAAATTTTCTCTTCTACCACCTGCCCCTATTTTTATGGCGGTACGAAGTTTGCTGGGTCAGCTAGTAAAATATATTTAAATATGACACGTTGAACATATTTCTTCTACACAGAATGTTGCCTACTAATATGTTGAACATATCGTACGGCCGCAAACTGCGCAACTCCATAAGCTGCGCCCCGGAGACTTTCACAAGGGCTCCTACTCTGCTACGCCGTGATGGAAACCACTCGGCATTCGCTAGCTATAGGTAAGACCAATAATCAAATAAATTATCTAATAAGTATCTAAATAAGTAATCTAATAAATTTATCAGTTTTATTATTACAAAAAAGCATTTGTTTCAAAGACGTCATCATTAAGGGCCAGTTAAAAAAAATAACCTTCAGTAAAAGTATAATTTTTTAACGTTTCTTCTCACATTTAGCAAAATAATAAAAATATAAAGACGACAAAGCTCTAATAGGTCTATCTTTTACGGGGGTTTGACCATTGAAACTGGCCGTAAGTCAAGTGTTGTCTATTCTATTGTTATAGCAAAGAAAGTGACAGGATCAACTTTAGTCATACTTAAAACTTAATTGTCTTTTCTGAGTTCCCATATGCTCAAGCGTTATAACTCTTATTCACACTTATTTATTGGTTACAGCCCGCCAACAACAACGACAGAAATGAAGCCTATTCAGTTTGTCAAAGAAAACGCTACCGCTTCTACTAAAAACGGTCCGCAGGTAAAGTTTTGTCACGTATACTTGGTTGTTTATTTTTTTCATGTCAAAACCTTTGACATGAAAAAAATAAGAGTAAAGAATTAAAGCTTTATCAATAGATTTTGAACTGAATATCCTAGATATAAAGTTTAAAATATATATTTAAATAACCAGATGTCTTGTTGACTTTATCTAGCTTATATTTAACACTAAAAATCAGTTTTGCATCACAAATCGTGACTAAAAAGGAATTACCTGATTTGCCCCAAAATAACAACATACCGCATCGTTACATTGTATATTTATAATAATTTGCACGCGGCAGTTATGAGTTGAATTTCTCTGTCTGTTGAAGTTTTGATTAAGTAGCCGTAAAAATGTTTGTCAGCAGGAGAATGCCACCCATCTACTTAGAAGTTTACTAAAGATTAGTGAAGACGAAGAACAGGCCAAAAAGAACAATGTTAAGGTAAGCTGTTTTGCTTTTATGCCGGCTATTCGTGTTTGCAATTTGTAAACTTGACATCAGTCTGTCCTTTTCACTCCTCATTAGGCGTGATAAAGACAGACTGTTGTCAAGTTAGCAAATAGCAAATACGAATAGCCAAGTGAAGTGCTGGCATTGAATGAACTGGTTTTCTTATCCTCCACAAATCGTCAAAGCGAATGAATGAGTACCTAACGTTAATCAAATGAGAGAATCTTATGTAAGAAAAACTGTTGTCTAATTAGGTCGAACTTTGTTATTTAATTTTCACTTTTAGTTATTTATTTAGCGTTTGCTTAGTTATTCTATCGACCCTAAATTAAATGCAACACACTTTTGTAAGACAACTGTTTTATTATAAGTTGTGTGATTGCGCCGTGTAAGTTTATGGTTTTATCCCCAGGGTGCTAATGATCAAAATTGGCGGAAGAAAGAGAACAGTTCGCAGCCACCACTACTACCAACGCCAAAGTAAGTCTGTTATCTAACGCTTTATTCACCAAACATTAGTAAGGAGACATTTTTTAGGGTTCCGTACCTCAAAAGGAAAAAACGGAACCCTTATAGGATCACTTTGTTGTCCGTCCGTCTGTCAAGACGTTTTTCTTAGGAACGCGTGGAGGTATCAAACTGAAATTCATATCTAATACTCAGGCCTACTGTCCCCTGGAGCTGTGAAAAAATCAAACTTCTAAGCCAAAGCAATCAAAAGATACAACCGCTTATGCTGCAAATTTTCGAAACTCGCGCGGGAATCAAAACCTACAGGGTACTTCCCGTGAACTTAGAATCTTGAAATTTGGTACGAAGTAACTCTTATAGTACAGATAAGGGAAAAATTGCGAAAACCATAAATTTTTAGTTACATCATATAACAAATTTTTTTTTGAAAATTTTAAAGTTACTACAACTTTTCTCTTGAACGCGTAGAGGTATTAAATTGAGTTTGTTCGGAACCCTCGGTGCGCGAGTCTGACTCGCACATGTCCGGTTTTTTCTCTATCAATTTGGATCTTTTTGTCAAACGCACTAAGGTCACCTATGAAATGGAGAAACTTCGCATTTTTCAGTAACAGACTATACAGATTTGCATTCCACTATCTTTACTAAAATCAAATTTGCTCACAATAGAGCCTAAGCTTCATTACCCGATAATGTGTAGGATTTACGCTTTAGTAAATCCTTTCCATTAGATCTTGATAATGATTAATACAGTTACTAGTACTTATTTTTATTTCGATCCAAATCAAACGTTTAGCGCCTTGAAGTGATAAGCGCCACATTTCTATTATGACTGATATTTGGACTGTCACAGATCATTCTGTCTAGATGATATAAAGCGAATAGATCTTTAAAGAGTTTTTAACCCCTGGTCTATGTAGCCCTCCATTTTGTTTTTCACGGCCGGAAAATAAAAAAAAAACTCCGGCCGATTTTCCTCTTATTATTCGAGTTCTACTGTACATCCAGGCTTCATTTGTCTTAAATCAATCCTGAATAGTTTCTCTACAAACTTATCTATATATAAGATGTATAATTTTAAAAACCATTACTAAATATGATAAAACGCGAAATATGAAAATAATTTTCTCAACTCATGGTAGAAGTCATCCACTTACATAGACGAGGGGATACGGAAAACCTAATGAGTTGTTGGTGGCATTGTATGTAACTAGCGCTGAAATAAAATATTATAGATAAGTACTAGAAACAACTGAGACTTTAATCTTTCAAACGTTGATTAATGAGTTTGTTCATATATTTAAAATAATTTGAATGCAATAAAAACTTTACTCAAAATCGATGTGTTCCATGCAGCATATTGTTTTGGAATTTGTTCAATGGGTAAGGTCGATATGGCGTTCAATGTGTGTTGTTTTAAGATATAACGAAGACCTCGTTTGCTTCTCATTTAAGCTTCTTTACGTCGCTTCATACCAAAATATATTTGTTTTATTTAAACTCTGAACGTCCTTAAAACCGAAGTTTTAAATAAGATGATTTTAAAGTATTTTATTATTTTTTTGTCTTTGTATCAGCGTCAGGTAAGACTACCCTTTGTTCTATGGTTTCGTCACTATTTTCAAAAAGTATTTATTGGAGTTTTTGATTGGATTGTTTGTACATTATCATCGTAAACTTTGATTTCAGCTGTCCATGGTCCCCACCTGTTCTAAAATACAAAATAATTGTCTGCCACTTTTCCTAATTACTAAGATTATGCCTTGAACTAGTTGCGCAATGTTCTGTCTCCTTTCAGCAGATACAAATGACATTTGTGTGAAGTCAAGAGAATATTGCGGAACTATTTAACTGTGTTGCTAATAAATAAATGTTGAAAATTTTTGAGGAATTGATGTTATCTTGGTTACGTTCGTAGTTATGATCACACTCCACAAATCATTGAGACTTAACATTTCTGTTCAGAGGGCCACAGCAAAATAATTGGCGCAAAGAAATGACCCACAAACCACAGCAAGCGCAAGTGGCCAACGAATGGACCAATGCTAACTTTAAGGTAAGTAATTATAATATTATCTATATTATATGAACTAAGACTTGTTATTTGTTTAGGGTAGAAGCAATTTATTTTATATATATACTTAAAATTCATGCCAGTAAAATTAATCTTACTTGGCGACATAACATGGCAAGACATTCGTTCCCTCTCGCACCAACTGTCGGGAATAATGTGCGAGAATTAATATACAGGCTCTGAAAGCGTTTTTATTTTATAGTACGTACTTAAATAATACTGTTACTAGAAATGTATAATTTAAAAGGATATGATTTTCAGGTGTTTCGTGTCCTGAAATTGATAGGTCGCATAATAATTAGATACTTGTTGAAAAGATAACGAGAGGTACATATCTTTATTTAGAATGTTTGATTTTGTGTTGATTATTATATATCACTTTACATAAATCTAATAAAAAGAAATGTTGTCATTGTGTGTTTGTTCACGACTGCCATTACATTACATAGGCTATGTCATCAAACATATTTTCAGTTATTTAATACCTTTTGTTTTGTTTTTGTTCACTTGAATCAGTTTAATGAACATAATTTGTTACACTAAAGTCCACAAAACATTGTAAATGGGTTTCATGTATGATGTCATATTTTTTATTGCATTTCCACATAGTACAAAAAAGTTTTGTTTAAGTTTAAATCTACTATTTGTATTAGTCATCAACCAATAATGTCCCCTAATGGGCAGGTCTTCGTTGTGAATGAAAAAGGGGGATTAGGAAATGACCCACCACGCGGCCCAGTGCTGATTGGTAGATGTTAACGACTGCAGATGCTGCTGGAACTAACTGCTTATTAGTATGAGTATTTTAGCAAAATATAAAATGTCGTATACTCTTCGATCTCTAGTAAGATTAAGGCACCTTCCTCATCGGTTCGTGCTCGATTCGTTTTCGTTTCTGTACCGAATCTGTTCAGATTATTTACCGAGTGCACATAATTAAATGATAGCTGACTGAGTTGTTTCGGTACAGAATCGTTACCGAGCAGTGCACAGTTCTCTGTACCGAGTGCTTCCGAATGCTACCGAATCATTCGACTCGCCCGTCCCGTTTCTCCCACAAACAAAACGAAACGATAGCGTACCGAAACCGAGCCGATGAAGAAGTTGTAAAGAATCTGTACATATTCGGTATAGAAACAAAAACGAAGCGAGCCCGTACCGACCCGGTCAGGAAGGCGTCTTACACCAATTTGATAAACATTATTTTTAAACATTATATCTATTAACGGGATTGTTACCATGTACCTTGTTTTTATGAGTCTCCGATATTTTGACACTGTTGCAAGCGCATGATCTGAGCAGCAGAGTACCGGAGTAACGGAGAGTTACTCCGTGATCATGACGCTTGCAACAGTGCTGAAATATCGGACTCATAAATAAACCTGTACCTTACATGGTAACATGCCCGTTAATAGCTATAATAAAATCATTTTCAAATATTGCCTATTATAGTGCGACCAACGAAAGAATGCTATTCTGACAGGTCGTGTCAGTTCCTTATGGCGACAGAATAAAATACACTTTAGATCTAATAAAAAAGAGGTTCGAAAATTAACTCTAATGCTATTACCATAAGGAACTGACACGACCTGTCAGAATCACATTCTTTCGTTGGCCGCACTATAATAGGCAATATTTGAAAATGATTTTATTATAGCTATTAAATTAGGTTTCACTTTTTCAGAATCAGCCCCCCGTCCCCCCGTTCCCCAATTTCGGTCAACCTTTCCAAGGGCCCGTGCCCAACCAGATCCCGTTTCCCCAATTCCAGAACCCGCACTTCCAACGCAACCAGAACCACCACGGCAACCAGGAGGTGAACACTCGCAACCAGAACCACAACCAGTACAGCAACAATCAGTTCAGTAACCGCACGCACCATAACCAGGGCTTCCCGAAGCATTTGCCTTCGGTCAGCGGGTCTAATGTTACTCTAGGCCCGAGCTGGGGACAAGGACAGGTAATAATTACATTTTCAACACACTTGCTCAAAAAATGCATTTACGGAGGTTGTATACATTGTTCGAAAGTTCAAAATTACGACCCATACAACGGAGCGTGCTGTAAAACGTTTTACCGCTCGGAGAGGAGAAGGAAAGATAGGATAGCTTACATCTCAGTTTATAGTCGCAATATTATTTTATTGAAAATTATTACTTTTGGGCGGTAAGAAGTTTGCCGGGTCAGCTAGTTATAATATAGTGTCTAATGTTGTATAAGTAATGCTACGGAACCGTTCGTACGCAAGCCCGATTTATATTTGACCGGTTTAAAAAAAACTTAGTCAACGCAGCCGCAATCGGTCTAGTTTAGATATTTTCTTATATCATACATCATTAATTGTAAAATTAATTCAAGTTATTACTTAAAAAACCTTAAAATAGACAAACAAATATATTTTGCGCAAGTCTTATAGAGTCTATTAATTTTGCAGCAGCAACAGGCTGCAGCTAGCAAGCCGAATTCGAATCAAACCAGTTCTGCAGAGAAGTTGTCAAATCCCTTCGTGCCACTACAAGTGCAGACAAGTCAAAGGTTAGTACTAGATAAACATAATGACATGTGAAAAAACTATTTTTAGTAGCTTATTTATTATATAACAACTTATATCCGATATCTAGTGTTGTAACTTTAAAAATATATATGGCTATCATCCTCTCTAGAAAGAGCACATCCGTATGATATAAAAGCATGTTTTAACGCTCAATTGTCAAAGTAATATGGATTGAAAATTATTGATTGAAAGTTAAAAAACGTAAAAGCGGACATGACTCATCGTTGTTTTGAAATTTAATGTACTTTTCAGTGTTGTTGTTTTTTATTACCAACTTGTAATTAAAATTTGTTAAACAATTATGGAGTTTGTACTATTGTATCTTTTTGTAGACGTATTCAAAATACAAGTGGACCCTCAACGAAGAAGGAGGAGATGCCGGCCCCTAAACCTTCTCAGCCCCGACCTCAACCTACCAATCAAAATGTGAGTATTAAAATTAGAATCAATAATTATACATATAATAAAATGGAAGGAAAGTCAAAACTGTACATTGAATATTTTTTAAATAAGACTGGGTGTGATCTACAATCGATACCGAAGCCAAAAATATAATTTTTTAGAATTTTTGTCTGTTTGTCTGTATGTGTGTCCGGGAAAATCTCAAAAACTACTGCATACGAATATTATTAAGAAGTTGGGTCAACATATAGGCTACATATCATCACGCTATCACCTACTAATTAAATCCACGCGTACGAAGTCGCGGGCGGCCGCTAGTTTTAAATATACATATATATATGTTAATATTTTTACTCTCACACCCATTAGCCCAGACCAAAAGAAAACACTATAAGGCTTGTGCTATATAATAGATAGAAACACGTGATGTGTATATTTATGTAGGAAAATAGATAAACCGATGACTGTTTACTCAAAAATTCGTCATATAATTACCACTCTACTCAGAGGCCGCCATGGAGGTGTTGTAAAGACTAATAGTCCAAGAGCCCACTGCGAAATATCTACCCGAATCGGACTTACGGACAAATCGTGTACGATTCGATGGGGAATGTGGTCGTGATAGGGTTGCCGGACATGATAAACCCTGTATCTTGACCGAAGGGTCGAAAAAAGGGCCACTTCCGGTCAATTTTTCGGGAGCCTGCTACCCGGATAAAACTTACAATCAAAATTAGTGCCAATCGATAGGGGATGTTGAGCACTTTAAGGAAAAATCGGGTTGCCACCCCCCACCCTGTCAGGGGTTGCGGCAGCCACCCTTAAGTGTGACCCATTTTCCTATTGCTCTACCCGAATCGAACTTACGATTTTTTTTTTTCCAAATCGAAGCTTGAACTTTCCCCAACACGAAAAAATAGGGTTGCCACTTCTGACCTTGACCAGAACAGCCGTCAGCCAGCCCCGAGTTACCCAATTTCGAGGTTCCAATTTCGATCGCAATTTAACTACCCGCATCGAACTTACGATTTCTTTTTTTTTTAAATCGAAGCTTGAATTTCCCCGAACACAAAAAAACGAGGTTGCCAACTTTGGCCTTGACTGAAAATTTTTCTGCCAGTGAATTATGGCGTCAATATTAATTTATTTTATTTTGGAGCAGATCGAAACGAATCATGAAAAAACATTAGAAAATCAGATTTTTTTTTTTTATTTCATTTTATAATTCGAAAAGAAATCGCTGTTATATTTCCCATCGGATATTTCCAGTAGCAAATTTTTATATTTGATGTTCAAATCTTGGAGGTAGAAGACTTTTTCTTTCTTAACAATTTCTTCCTGGATGAAAATGGAAAAGACTTCAAAAGCGGTATTGTGAATTTGTCTTGTTCCATGCCAAATCCCTGCATCTTGATCGTCCTGAACCGATTTTTCACACGATTTGTAAAAATTCAGTTTGCAAATTTTGTGATAATTCAAAACATTGCGACCTAATAATTTATTCAGCAATCGCGTGTCTTCCAACTTTTCTGCAGATTCCTTCAATCGATTTAACGTTTCAGGGCAGTTCGATGTGATTGTTTGAAATCTCTTTCCGCCTGCTCTTTTCACCGCGATCCCTTCTACCTGGGAATTTTGAAAAGACCCCATAATACATGAGGACGTAGCAGCTGCTGTCGTTACACTGCTGCCACGATCTCAACGCTTCGATCTGCTCCAAAATAAAATAAATTAATATTGACGCCATAATTCACTGGCAGAAAAATTTTCAGTCAAGGCCAAAGTTGGCAACCTCGTTTTTTTGTGTTCGGGGAAATTCAAGCTTCGATTTAAAAAAAAAAGAAATCGTAAGTTCGATGCGGGTAGTTAAATTGCGATCGAAATTGGAACCTCGAAATTGGGTAACTCGGGGCTGGCTGACGGCTGTTCTGGTCAAGGTCAGAAGTGGCAACCCTATTTTTTCGTGTTGGGGAAAGTTCAAGCTTCGATTTGGAAAAAAAAAATCGTAAGATCGATCCGGGTAGTGCAATAGGAAAATGGGCCACACTTAAGGGTGGCTGCCGCAACCCCTGACAGGGTGGGGGGTGGCAACCCGATTTTTCCTTAAAGTGCTCAACATCCCCTATCGATTGGCACTAATTTTGATTGTAAGTTTTATCCGGGTAGCAGGCTCCCGAAAAATTGACCGGAAGTGGCCCTTTTTTCGACGCTTCGGTCAAGATACAGGGTTTATCATGTCCGGCAACCCTATCACGACCACATTCCCCATCGAATCGTACACGATTTGTCCGTAAGTCCGATTCGGGTAGATATTTCGCAGTGGGCTCTCCGACTATAAGATGCTATTTGCAATATGGTAGTCAGACTCCACTTAAGTGAATGCAAATTGAATTTTATCAAGTAGTTATAAGGATGATATTTGTAAATTTTATGATAAATATCTGACATTAATTTTGTATTCCAGACCAGTTGACCACGTTTATTATAATTTACTCACTTTGCCCTAATCACCTTAAAAAGTGCATTAACCAATTTGCAAAATAATTTTGTGTAGAGTAAACATTAACCCAATTATTCAACAAAAAATATTATTATATATTTTTGTTTTTATTATTTGTTTCTTCGTAATAGCTATATAAAGTGCATTTTTCATTGTCAGGTGCAACCTCTAAGGCAGGATTCCTCGTCACGACCACAAAAGAAGAAAAAACCGAGAATAGCGGCAAATCTACCATTTCAAATAGACTAATTGTTCGCGTTAACATGAGTTTAAAAAATACAAAACTAGCGTTGAAAATAAAAAGGAAAAATATGAAAAGTAGCAGGTGACAAAAACAGAGTGTTATGTTTAGGTGATAAGATTGTAAATAAATGTCTTACAGAAAAAAATAGAAAAATATCCCTTCAAAATTTCTCATAATAAAACTCAAATTGAGTTGTATATTATGTAAATACGATGAAGAGAACTTATATTTAAGTAGTTGACGAAAATGTTGTTCTAGATATTGGAAACATTGATGGTAGTTTACAGAAACATTTATTTGAGACGGACACATCAAATTCATTTGTCTGGAAGTATTTTTGTTATCAATTTGGTTATTTTTTTATTTGGTATCGTGTGGAGTTTTACAATGAACACAACCTAAATGAGTCCTAAGATCTATTTAAACAATTATTTTAAATACGTACTATTTAAATCACATGTGATAAATATTTTAAGTACATTAGAAACATTGTCATAGTTTCATGTTATGTACAGTTTGGCTGATGAATCTTGACCTGTCTGAAGTTAGCTATTTGACTGAACTTCAGCCAAACAATTTATTCCTAAATAAAAATAAATGCACAACAAAAAGTCTAACTAGAGATTTGTCAAGATTCGTGGGCTGTAATAAACAGAGATTTTATTATTCATGTAGTACAAACGACATAAATAATATTTTTTAACTTATTTAGTTGACAGCTAAATAATATTTTTTTAATAATAACTTCATATTGATATGTTGATACTGCAAACATAATAGTTGTATCGCTAACTGTATGGACTGTATGAATCTTGTTACATAATTGTTATTTCTTAACGTCTCCAATCAACATTGATTAAAAATGAATGACTGTATTTTTTTCTGAAATCAAATCAATTTTGTTAAATTAAATATTCTTCCGACGAATGTATTATTGTTTTATTTTTATCATAAATACATATTTAACTTAAATTGTCTTGATTGGTAAGAAACAAGACTGAATAAGTGTTTACTGGTATGAACGTCATCATCATTACTCATACATAACTATTCACAAGTAGGCACTTCCTATGAGTTTCCTATATCATTATGTAGATAGACAAACAAATTTCACGCTTTACGTGATTTAGCGGCAAAGTGACCGCACTCTATTGAACTGGTGGAACAAACTACGTTAAAAGACTGTGGCACTAACTTCACATTGAAATTATTAAAGCAGTTTTGATGGCGTAAACTAGACATAACAGAAGGAACGTCTATAGAGGTCAGTCCTGTTTATAAATATTTTTGTTTAAATACCTATGGGTGAATTAAAATAGATAAGATATATGAAGTTTTTTTTTTAATATTCTCAAAGGTTTTTAAACAGAAGGCAAAGCATTAATGCTGTGGCCACATTAACACAAATTAGATAGTACAGCAGGTAATCTACATACAAAGTGCGGTCGAGCGACGCACACATAGACGCAGCTCACAGACACGATATCTCCGACCGCTTGACCAGTGCGAGCGCGTCTTTTACCGCTTGAGACGTGCGTCTGTGAAAACGCGAATAACAAAATAGTTATTATAAAGGTTTCAGTGGATGGTTGTTTCAATTCAACATAAAGCGGTATATTGTCGTTTTTTTAAATTGTATTTATTGTAACAATAACATGAAAACTAAAATACTCTATTTAATAAATATATTAACTAGATACGTTCGAGTGCCACTACCGCGTTTTTTTGAGCCAAGCAAACGTTGACAATCCTAGAGCAACCGCTGGGTATGAAAAGTGAAGTACATAATATACAGATTACCTTCTGCACTATCTGTTATGTGCTATTAATGTGAGTGCGGTCCAATTTTGAGACTGTAGGTATATAAGATTTTGTAACTTTCTAAATAATTGTGGTTTTGTTATTTCAATTTTACCGAGATGTTGCGAATATGAAGAAGAGTGAAGCAGTACGAGACGGTGATTTAGACACACGCGCACTCTCAGACTATATTCTGGTGGCCACCAGGTATGTAGAAAATATGTCAAACACCTGCAAAGCGTCACTGAAGATTACTTTAAAAAATTTGCCCAGCTAATGCTATGCTATTTTATGAAATATGATAATAGTAAATGCAAATATGTATAAAAGTATAATACTCTTTGGCAAACAAATGAATGTCTTTAAACTTACTCTGCCTTATTACAAAACAAAGACTAAAATTAAAACTGGACTAAAACTGCTGCTGTCACTTTCGTTTGCTAAAAAAAAGGTAAATAAAAAAAAACGAAAATCCTGGTAAGGAACACAGCTACTTTCAACAGTCGGGACCCATTAGATTAAAGAATGGATTTTTTTTTCAATAATGGGTCCCGACTGTTAAAGAAGCTTTGTTCCTTACGTATTAGAATTATTAGACTACTGGACTTGTTTTTTTCTTTTCTGTTTTTATTTGAAGTAAAAATTAAACTGTTTTTTATTTCACACTTTTTAGTTAGGATTATAAGATGGTATACCACAGTCTTGTCACTTCAGTAAGGGAGTTAATATCGCCGGGATTATTAAGTACCTTGCGGTGGTCTAAATGATTGATTTATTAAGACTTTTTTTTTAGATTGCTGCCTGGTACCTCTGTTATAGTTGGTATTGTGAACCTGTCTGGTAATAATGATGTTGTGGACCTCTCCTCTCTAAAGCTCCTTCCATCACCTCTTCAGGTTGTTGCCTCTGGAGTGAAGTGTTCGCTCCAAAAAGGGTATATATACAAACTTTTACTGATACCTGTCTAATTAAGTTCTTGCTTACAATGAATAAGTTGTAAAGATCTGCTTTTCCTATCTGGATAATACATATATATATATATGAGTGGTCAAGTAAACTTATAAAATACCACAGTATTCCTTTTATGAAATAGGGCCTTGGAAGTAAAAGAAAAATTAATAGTTTGAACACCTACTGCTATTACTATCCTTTTATATATATGCACTCATTAACTTAAGAAAAATATACCCTCAAAATGTGTTTGATTTATATTTAGATATATTATTTCTTTACAGAACTATAGTCCCCAAGAACAACATAAAAGTTTCAGGACATTGTGCCCTAGTCCTTGAGACAGTTAAGAAATGCTGCTAAAATAATATTTATAAAATATGAATGAAAAAATAATAATAAATGATGTAAAGCGAAGTTTGTTTTATTATACAAAAAACGTTAACTTAGAAACATTCACTTATTTTACAAAAGTCTAATTATTTTTTGTACGATCAAGCCAATTGATTCCTGACCTGACCCATTTGCCTGATATTTCACTTAAAAATGTCAAAACAGACAAGTTTTCCTTTGTAGAAAACAGGTGATTGCATTTAGGACCTTCTAATAGCAAGGAAACTGTGTTAATAAACAAAATGAATCAAACAAATTGAAATTTGACCTTTATTTTCTATGCAGTAGAACATATACACATAAAATTGGAATAGTAGTTTGACTTTCGAAATCACTTTTAAAATCGACAAACTCTTTCGATTTCTTGACATTATCGTGGGCAGCACTTCTATTAAATTTAATCTCAAAATTATGTCACAGGACAGAGGCAAAATCTGTCATGTCAAATATGGTTGTTCAGAATATATTTAAGCAAAATTCAACCTTATTGTTTTAAAGTGGTTGTAACAAAATAAGCTAATGGTGGTCCGCAATCAAATTGGTGGATTGTTCTTTAAAGAACAGTAGAATTTTCTACAGAGTAAGTTTCATGTGGGAAGTGTATTGGCAAATTTGACAATCTTTTTTGTTTTAATCAGTCTTGAATAAATACTTCTCACATTCTAAAAGTCTAATCCTCCTTCTAAAAAACATAAACAGTCAACTTTGTTGATGATTAAATCCAGATCCTTCTTATTGATAGTTTTCCTTTTGTTTGTTATTGTATATGAATATGTCTCTTTTGCTAAAGTTTCTAGAAATAGTTCCTGAAATTAGATAAAATAAAAAATAATTATTTATTTTATTGCTTTGTGCTAACAACATTCACAAATTAGTGAATTTGGTCTAGGATATAGGAACTTTAAGCAATGAAGTAATAAGTTTTTATAAGAAAGTAGCAAACCCGGCGAACTCCGTTTCGCCACCAGATGGCTTCGTTTTATGTAACATTTCGTTTGGTGATTAAAAGAAGAAATTTTTTTTTGAAATATTTCCTGTATTTTCTTTGCTATAAACCTCACGGAGCCCGAGACCTTTCCAACGAATGCAAAACCGTGGAAATCGGTTCGTGCGTTCTGGAGTTATAGCGTCAGGAAGGAAAACCCGACTTATTTTTATATAATAGACTAGTGGCCCGCCCTCGCTTCTACAATTCGAATTTTTGTCAACTTTTAAACGTTCCTTAGACCTCCACAAACATTTCAAGACCAAGATAAATCCGTTCAACCGTTCTCGAGTTTTAGCGAGACCAACGAACAGCAATTGATTTTTATATATATAGATATACTTACGGTGGCCTTTGTAACTAAAAAAACTGCGTCACCAGATAACACGCTAACATCAGGATCCATTTTCATAATGTTTTTTATCCTCGCCATGGGCAACCGTGTTGAACGTATAACCTCACTTTTGCTAGCTACATTCGCAGGTTTTTTTTCTATTGAAACTTGATCTTCGGCATTCAAAATCTCAGAATCTTCAGTTGGGATAATATTCTCAGAGGCTTCAGATAGCTCAGTGTTATGATATTCAGTCGGTTGCAAATATTGTTCGCTATCGTCAATTATATCCGATATGTCAACATCTGTGTAATGCTCCTCTTCCGTCATTGTATGAATTTGTGTTAATCAAGAACTAGCTACAGCCTATTTCAGTTAAAACAAATAAATATTTTTTAAAATCAAAGGTGCGCGCGAATATCACCGAGAAAAACAATATTCGAAAGCTGTCCATGTCAAACAGCTGTTTTTTTGTTATATTTTTTCTTTCAGGAAGACAAAGTATTTGTAGTACATACAGCCTAGTCCTTAGTAGTTTTTTTATAATTTAGGTTTCCTAATCAGGGGTATAAACGAGGCCCTTTTCACTCACTGCACTTCCGGCCGTCTGTCTGTCTGTTGCCAAGCTGTAAGTATATCAGGAACTGTGATAGCTAGACTGTTAAAATTTTCACAGATGATGTATTTCCGTTGCCGCTATAATAACAAATACTAAAATCATAAAGCCCTGTGCATATTAACGTATCGTGGCGCGCCAGAAGCACATCGGTTTCATTCATTTACTATGGTTAGAAACATATCGTGTCGTGTCGACGCTCTAACCTCTCTCTCTCCCTCTAACCCATAATAAATGTATAAAACCGGCGCCCCACGACAGTTTAATATACACAGGGCTTAAAACGAATAAAATGAATTTATAAGGGGCTCCAATACAACAATTATGTGTTTTTTTGCTCTATATTATTAACGGTAACGGGCTAGACGCTTGAAATAAACACAGAATATTTACTTAAATATTCAATTTACAAATAAATAAATATTTAAGGTGAGCTTCTTTAAAATAGTCGCACTTGGCCGGGTTTTTTTTTATATTAGAATACGATTCGTCAATTTTCTCAATGAGCTTCTGTGAAGAAGTCAGCACTACATTAAATTATCTCTTTTTGAGATACCCAACCCTTGCTTCGTCTGGACCAACACAACACCACGTTGTTTGTAGCGATGTATGTAAATAGTCTTCTATGACTAGCCAGCAGACGGTTCACCTGATGGTAAGTAATCACCGAAACCGGAACCTGACCCGAACACCGGACATCTCTGTTCATGGGCGACAAAAGTTTGTTGCAGATGCAAACACACAAATATGCTATGTTACAAAAGGAATTTCTAAAGTCATAATGACGGTCGCATCACAATTCATATACTAAAACTTATTACAAAAAACAGTGATGTTCACACATTTAATACAAGGAACAAAAATAAACTAACTTTACCTGCTACTAGGCTTCACAAAATCAATAATTCATTTAACGGTCCTTGTGTTCGCTTATACAATAAAGTCCCAAGCAATGTCCAAAAGTTAACCATAAATAAATTCAAAGATAGTATAAAAAAACGAGCGAGCCTTACAGTAGTCGCGTATAATGTGTAACATTTGAAACCTCACCTTATTAAAAAAAGAAATAAAACCTATTACAAAAGGAATAAGCCATTTGAACAGTATGTTTTAAAATCAAATCAAATAGCGCGCGCTCTCGCGACTTCCTGTTACACACTTCCGTCCCATTTCACGAAATCACTTCCACAAATTGCAGGAAAGCGAGAGGAAAGCTGTTACACATCAAAAAGGACTTATTATAAAAGCTTAATACAAACTGTCGATTATATTACATACAAAAATGCTTGGGTTTGAACTGTTCCAATCATTCCAACCGGTTTACTATATTAAATAAATCTTGGATTGTATTGACGTTGTAACAACATAATGATTTGTAAATGTTGCTACATTATACTTTTAATGTTGTGGAGTTCTTTTCGCTCGTTTTTCTCCGCAGCTAAAAAATATGTCTAATAACGAGCGGTGGGGAAAAGAAAATTTGGACGATTCATAAGAGTTATACTATACATCCAATTTAAATAAAGATATATTGATTTCTCATTTCTGATTAACTTTTATCACTGTTTTAGGGTCGTATAGGCCCGGAATTACAGCAGTTGATAATATTTTTGTTCTACCTGGTAATTGGTAAGGAATTCCAACCAAAGCTCAGGAAACACGTCACAATTATTCATTTCCAACTTTTTACCCGAGTCGAGGATTGGCGTTACTTGAGGAACGGCCTAACTAGACCAAAATCTTCATCTTTATCATATCAGCTGTATACGTACGACATTCATTACTTAACACAGGCATGGAACTCCACAAAGATCGGTTTTGCTACAGTCGTATCCATGGGCTTCCCGCAACCTTCCGTCCACTTTATGAGGGGCCTACTCACTGAGCTTCGTCCGGTGTATGGACGCCATTCAAAAACCTTTCTGTTCAGCGGCCATCGGTTCTCCTGACTACGTGTCACGCCCAATGCCACTTCAGTCAAGGCCGGATTTGAAAGTGTGGTTGCTCTGAGGCAACGAAGAAGCGGGGGCCCAGGGGAGCATTTGAAAAATATGGCGCTCCGGGCATCTGACGATCATATATTTAATTCTTAGATTCCTTATTAATTTTCGAGATTTTCCAGTGGATTTGGTATAAGTCGGGGGGGGGGGGGGGGGGGGGGGGAAGGGAGAACGTCAGAATTCTATATAAATGTAAGAATGAAATAAAACAATATCGAATTTGTAATAAAATATAATTATCAGTTCAGTTGAGTATCAAACAACATTTAACATTATCGATATTTATATACACACGGTAAAACAACTAGCTATACAGACAACAGAGTAGGTAAGTTTAATATAGAACTTAAGTCAATATTTCTACTGTACAAGCTTGTCTTTTATGTATAATTATAATCATTATTATACATTTGAATACATTAATAAGACTTGAAGCAATATTATCCATATTTGTTGGTGACGATCTTATTTTTATTCCGAGTTAATAAAAGTTCACCATATAACTCAAAACAAGTTGTTAGGTAATTGGAATTGGTATAGACCCTAGAGCATATACCAAACGTATATGCTCTAAGGTACAGACAGGCTATAAGTTGCCGATAAGATGTTATTACTTTTATAACAAAACAAAACGACAACAAACTACAAGATCCGCAATCCACACTTCAAATTCGAACAGAATTTAATCGTGGATGTTGACAGACTTTTAAATATAGGTACGTTTTTCCATGTTTCTTCATTTCGAAGAATAATAATCATTAAATTTACATTTCAAAGATCTCAAGTAATTTATTTAAATTTAGAATAATCTCAATTGCAAAGAGACACAATAAGGCACTTTGGAGAAATATTTTTAATAGCCAGGTATCTATTTAAAAATATTTCATAACGAGCTAATGAGATTTCTCCGTGCTAGAAAAAATCCATATCATCTTTAGCTCAGAAAAAACAAGGTACAATCTGCTAATACGTTTTAGTTTTAAGCAAGTATCTAGTACTTTTTAACGAGAAAAATTAATTTATACAAAAAAGCTTTTTCCAAAAAGGTTTTTTGCTCTGTATGACCGGCAGTCCGGCTAAAATTGCAGCGTCGAATGCGTCCTTCAGTTGGGACCTAGTCTTTGCAGAGGTTTCCACGTAAACTGCGTTGATCTTTGCGGCCAATGCTTTAGCCTCCGCATCAGTCACCGGGTGTTCACCACGTGCCTGTAAAGAATAAAAAAAATGAAATTAATTATATTTTTATTTAAAAATCTAATGAAAATATTACTAGATAAAAATCCATGCGGGCCAGAGACTAACAGCTACGGAATCGTATCGTCATCGTCAAAATGGAAAGAGCCAGTTTGTTCTTACGTCCGGCAGGGACGCTGCATAGTTTCCATAGAGACTTTGACGATGGGAATTGCGATAAGATTCACTTCTCAGGCACCAGACCGGATTCGAACTTGGTTAATGCGTCGCTGATATCTGGACCGCATGGCATTTGTTCTAGTACAATTTCCTTGAAAACAACGTAATTTTCATCGTCTGAATAACGAAGCAGAACCATCGCCTTTGGTAAACAGATAGGTACGTACGTACTAGGTACTCAATTCGTTAAATACTGAGTAAAATACGTAGGTAAGTGGAATGTGATTTATCTCCATGACACAACACACAACTGTCATGTTCCGATTTCCGCTCAACGTGATACATTTATTTGTGGGGATGATGTTGTATAGAATACGTAGGTATAGTAATAGTATGAAACATTATTATAACCTGCAATATTCATGCATTAAGATATATTTTATGGTACAAACGGCTACTAAACGCATTTAAATAAAGAAAATGATACGGAGAACCTACGCCGATTCGCGTTTATGTATTTCTAGTAGGCTCTGCGTTGACTGCTTGCCGACCTATTTGCTTATCACGATAAAAACAATAATGCTCATACTTTATGCGGTTTATGAACACAGCAAACAATAATAATTTACTTAAATAATGATGGGTGCAGTGTGTGTGAGCGTGTACCTACGACCCTTATCTCTGGTCACAGGCGGCTAAACCCATATTGCAAATTGACACCAACATGTTGCGTAGTCAGAAATATCGTACGTACCATCTACAAATATTGTAACAACCCTTTTTGCTCAGATTACAGAACAAAACCGATCCGGAAAATTGAAACGATTTTTATATTCGAAACGTTTGTATCTCCATCTAATCTTTTTTTTATGTTTCTATCGAATAAACTAAGCTTGGACCGATTTCAAATATTCTTTCTTTCACTATTTATTTTAGTATGTTACATCACCCCTGAGTAACAAAGGCTCTATTTCATCGCATTTAAAAGTTCAACCGTGTAAAGCTGGGCAGGGCAATAGTTCGCGTTCGAATTTATCTGACAGCTGGCTAAGGAATACTCAGTCTAATATCTCTAAGTATGTTGTACTTACTTCTTTATTCTGGTATACTCTATGACTAACTCCAAACTTGCAGCACACGCGGATTCCGGGCGAGTTCTGTAGCTGCAAGCTTACTAGTGCGAGCAGCGCGCGAACGCCGGTCACAGCAGGCGTCATGAGATAGAATTTGGGTAGGATTTGCAAACTTGCACCGAACACAACCATAGAACGCCGCTATCGGCATATTTCTTGTAGTTTTTATACATTTTATATGGACTCGCCACACACGGTACGCCGGTGGCCGCCACACGCTACAAATCGTCGTTACTCGCTTCTTGTGGCCCGCACCGGCCACTTAATGTGCCGATACAAAACGCCGCCACTTGTCATTCGCGCGATTCCCCACCCCTCTCCCTTACCTTAGTCGGCCGCTGTCGCGCACTACGGCCACTTTAGTAGCCGCTTCTTCTCGTGGCGGCATTTGTGGCTGTGGCGTGTGGCCCGTGTGCGGCGACACTAACAGGAGAGATGCTCGAAAGCCGGCCACCGCGCACGCCATTAGATCTCTGTCTTACTTACGCTGTTCGCTAAAATCAACCTTATGGATATGGTACTAACTCGCAAGTTCTGCAGCACGCGCGGGTCCCGAGCGAGGTCTGCTTGCGTGCCGACCAGCACGAGCGGCGCTCGAACGCCGGCCACAGCGCGCGTCCATCGAGTGCCCACCGAGCGGAACGTCTCCGGACGCACTACGGAGAAGCACAGCATCAACACGTCCGTGCCCGGGTAGCACAGCTCGCGGAGCTCCGACAGCGAGTCCTGGAAACGGAACACGTTTTCATGAACATTCAGATCAAATGCAGAGAATGCACTTATGCACACGCATAGAGAATACACTAGCTCTAATTTTAGTCTAGGAAGACAGAATGCGATGATGCAGCCAATACCTGCGATAGGTATATTGACCGCATGGTCGCTTCATCTGTCTCCTAATTAGGTAACCTGACCAGTTTATTTCACAGTTGGAAAGACAATTCATATGAAAGTTAGACCATGTCTGTAGCAAAAAATCGAAGTAGGTACCAATATAATTAAAAATTACAAATGTAATACGATTACGACGACGATTAGACTAATAATATATTTTGTAAGTTTCATATGGTTTCTAAATTTTCACGCATGAATCATAATTTTCTCTGAAGCAGCCTATTCTCAGTTTACGGGAACTTTTAAAGCTTTTTTTCAGTTCCATCTCAATCTCAGTTCCTTTTATCTCAGTGAAAGATTTTCAATTTTACCTTACTATAAGAACTAATTGCCTATGATGACTTTCATGCATAACGAATTAAAGGGAATAGTATTAAAATAATGTCTTATCTATTCATTTAATCGCCGAGATAAGATGACTCTGTAATTCTTTAAAATACTTCCGACAGACTGTACATAACCACTTTCGAAGTTAATGCTAATAGGAAAACCGCTATAGACAGCATGGCGGCGAACGTAGCCGGTTACGAAACCAAACACCAATAAACTCAACGCATCGAGTTGAAGACTGAACAGTCCACCATCACTCATTATTCAACATGAAAATATCAAAGTAAACAATCAACAAATTGTGCAAGGATAATTGACCAAAATTGTGCCAAGATTTGCATATTTTGAAAGCTTCGTGATATAGGACTGGGTACCTACAATCATTCATCCAACATAAAAACACAAAATAATAATAAAGTATTTATATAAGAGTTATGAAAAACTCAAAAACAGAAGAGCTGAAGAAGTCACTCGACACGAAGAACAATATCGAAATCCTATCAAAATATAAATCAAAAAGTTGCGCAATAAGAGATTTAAAAAACTGTATCAAAAACGAGTAGGTAAGTACTGGATATTTAGAGAGCTGGTATAGAGTATAGTAGCGGGTATGAGGTGAAAGTGGGCCCATTGATATCGCCGACAGCCGAGAGGCAACAATTGAAGCACCATTCTGGTTGCCTAATGTATCGACGCAGATTGCGCAAGCCAAATAACACCGTTCGCTCTGATCGAACCTTATTCGATATATCGATTGCCATATCTGGCTCTCTGGTGATGTTTCGAATTTTACTTTTAGGTTGTTTACAAAGTACATACAAGAAGTAAAAATTGCCGTTAATCGACCATTGTTGCATCCGTTTGAAAGCGGCATGTATTTTTCTCGTATCATTGTTTATAAATCGTGTGTTGAACGTAGCGAATCGTCCTAAGTCCAAGGTTGTCCAACTCAAGAGTTGACATTGTTAGGTGATGGCAGTGTTTTACTTCATGTAATTGTATTCGTTAAGTACAGTGAGTGAGCTTCTTGGATCCAATGAAGATTACGTTGCAACAACTAATTTTCAAATGGTTGTTTAGACATCAGTAGTGCAATTCTGTAAAACCCATAATCTCATCTCACTGTGTGTGTCGGATCCGTTTTGCTTTCGTTCTCTAGGTTTCGCTTCACGGAATTTTCGCATTCTGTAACCAATTGTACAAGCAAGTGAAGCGAGATGTCATTTATATCCTAAGTAATTTGTAGTGTTACCATTTTAAAAGTTTTTGGTAAATCGAGATATATCGACTTAGTTATTATGCGTGAAAAAAAGCACGTAAATTTATTCTTTAGATATATTTGTAGATATGAGGCTCAAGTTTAAAGTTTTAATGAATGTAAACTTAAAATAGTCTTATTTTTAAAGTTTGGTGACATGGACGAATCAGGGCTTACTCTATGCGCATCTCTGTAATCGAGTGGAAATCGACACTAGCGCTACTAAGTGAGAGTGAGGGTTTTGTAAACTATCACAGGTGAGACCAGTGCTGCCATATCTACCAACTTTTTGGTAGATCTACCAATTTTCACTTCAGTCTACCTATCTACCACCCTAGACCTAAAAACTACCTATTTTTTAATTAGTTTGACATATCACCACTTTGAATTATTTTTATATCGACGAGCGACGTTGCGATGTATTACGTGAGCCATGCAACGATGCGTCAAGCATACATAGAGTCCAGGCCATAAACCACAAAAAAAACGTCAGCAACAGTTCGCCATCAGTTCGGCATTCGCACAATTTCGCGCCCATATTTTACTATTCCTACTGTGGCCTATGGGGGCGTCCATAAATTACGTGAGGTGTTTTTTTGAATTTTCTGTCGCTCCCTCCTCCCTGATGAGATGTCGTGAGATTTTTTTCAACCCCCTCCCCCATCCCCCAATCTCACGTGAGATTTTTCAAAATGTGGGTTTCTTACTTAAATGCATTGGATTGTTATTGTTGTAAAAGAAAAAAAAAATGCTTCGTGCTAGACTAGTAATCAATATTGCTGAGAGTTATTTCTTTCGAACGAAATAGTGAATGATCTTAATCGTATTACGATAACGCTTAAGATTAAATTTTAAGCATGTAAAATCTGGATTAAATGGACCAAAATAGTATATTTTTTTTGTTTCAAGCAGAAAAAAAATTGCGTGATATTTGACTCGACCCCCCCTCTCTCCAACGTAAGATTAGATGAGATTTGACTCGACCCCCTCCCCCCCCTTAAACATCTCACGTAATTTATGGACGCCTCCTATTCCCGTTTGGTTTGTTGCGGAATCAATGTTGAATCTTTGCTCCTGTTTTATTGTAAAAATTAACTGCGTATTAACGGTGCTGATTGCTGTTTGTTCTATGTTGCGTGCATTTATTCATATAATGGATTCTGACAGCAGCGAAAGCGATGCAGATAGTTCTAGGTTAGGAACTTCGCCACGAAAACCTAGAAATAGGCACTATGACCAAAAATATTCGAAATTATGGGTGAAAGACAAGGAATTTGCAGGTTGGCTTCAAGAAATTAATCAGGGTGACGGATATTTTTATTGCAAATCATGTAGGTGTGATCTGAAGTGTGCTCTGGATTGCATTGCATGCATTTTTAATCTTAAAAAATCTTATAAATTGAGGTGGTAGATCTACCAATTTTGCATTTTACATTCTACCAACTTCTACCAACATTTGGCACATAATCTACTAATTTTCTAAAATTCGGGTTGGCAGCACTGGGTGAGACCGTAACATACCTAAATGTCTTTGACGTTTCAATGGCATTCTGTAACGAATTTCAGCGCTTGTTTACACCTCACATTAAAAACCGCACTCGAAAGTAACTGTCAAAATAAAAGTTACTCATTAGCTGCGGTAATAGAAGTGATTGTACGAAGTGAGTATTTTTGTAGACTATTATCATCATAAAACAAGAGTAGGTAATTATTAAATTATTTATAATTACGTTGCTTTTGTTTATTTAAGTAATAATTCTTTAAAATTATGTCTATCTAGTATTTCAGATGACTCACTCTATTACTTGCTTTTTACTATAGAAAGCCCATGTATGATGTAGATTTGGCCAGAAGCCGCCTACAAGCCCAATTTCTGTGTAACCTTGAGTAATTTCATGTGAAGATGAATATGTGACTAAATAAAGATTTTTTCAACAATTGGAAAATGATTTAAAGTATTCATTTAGAAGAAACCAAGTGTAATGGAAAAGGATTATCCAATAGAATGAAGGTAAAGTACCTAATTGCATAACAAAAATAAAACCCAACCAAGAAACTTTTTATAACAATTATATAAGAATATTTTTTTTTTTTGTTTCAGATACTGTGTACACTTTCATTTGTGCAAATGGGAGTTACTAAGGATAATAGGGCAAAAAATTACACACATTTATCCCAACCATCAATATCAAGACTTGTAAATGAAATTGCCACCTTTTTAAGATTTTATGTCATCCAGACATAACAAAATGCATCACAATGCCAAGTGATAAAGAATTGGTAAGTAAACTTTAATTCACTACAATTAAACAAATACTTGGGCAAATAGGTGTACAAAAGATATAATAAAGTAGAACCCTCGGTATAAATATTACATATAATTCAAGTAGAACAGTGTTTCTTAGTTTTTGCAATCCTTTACTTTAATTATTTTAGAATATTTTATGTGGGTAATAAAATTTCTATTTGTAGTTTATTTAAATTATCTAATACTTAAGTAGTAAACAGAGCTATTCAGGACCACTTTTTATTTAATTATTTTTTAATGCCTTTACATTACATATGGCGGTCTTAATGCCAGCATAGCATTCTCTACCAGTCAACCGGAAGGAACGAGAGTCAATAAACGACATTTAACTTTGGTTTAGACCAATTTACCTTTAAAAAAACTACTAGGTATATTTTTTTGGAGTTATTTTAATAAACTTTACTTTTGTTACAGATTTTTGGAGAAATTTAAAATGCCTGCAGCTGTTGGTAGTAAAGACTGTACCTTTATCACCATAATAAGGCCAAAAGAACCTTTAGTAAAAAGCATAAAGCAACGGTGTAGTGTAAACATTAAATGTAGTTAATGTTAATTGAATAAATATATTTTGATTTAAAAAATAGTCACTCATATTTTTAACCCTTCACCACAGTAAACTACAAAAGTAATGATTTTATTGAACTATTTCATCATCAGCCTCCACTATCTGCCCCCCACTGTTGAGGCAGATGGAATAGGGAGACTGGCCATGACCCACCTAGTAGTAGGACCTAGTGCGGACTGATCAGTGCTAAGGACTGCTGATGCAGCTGGGACCAATAGATTGATGTGTCATCTGAAACACGGAGAAGATCGAGATAATAAGTTTTTGGTCACCCATACAATTACCAAAAGTTGCCTAACTTTCATGATTGCAGGACGAATACTCTAAGCACCTGCGTCTCCGGGCTCCTCTTTATTTAGATTGAACGTTTT